TCTCGAGCATACCGAGGTCGTCAATGCCCAGACTTTACTACCTACTAATCACCAGCAATGCGGTATTCTCATTATGGTCCTCACATTGAACTATAGACACACTGGCAGACCACATGGATAGCAGAGTAACCCTACCCCCAAATGTATATGATGTTGTTGAGTAAAAGTAGATCAGTAACGTACATTTCTTTGTGCTTTCTGGTTACGAAGCTCAGAGTCACTGCCCTTCGACGATCCCTAGGTGATTTGTTTGTGCAAGCGGTCGGTAATTACACAGTACTAACGAGCCTACCTCCTGCACAGCAAAACGACCAACTAAGGTAGGGAATTCGGCTTATGTCAAGCCCAAAGAGCCTAGTGACGGTTCGCCTACGAGCAGCAGAGAAGCTTATTGCCGTAGATTATTTTGGCTCAAAACTGTGTGGTCCTCTTGTCTGCTGGATTTGACATTTTGATCTACACATACTAATACAAATTACGAAGTCGGAAAGCCGCCGTCGAGTGTTGCAGGACCCTATTTGTTATGCAGTCAGCAAAGGCGAAACGGTCGCGAACATAAAGCGTGGAACGTACCATCCGCACCAAGTTACGGTTGGTGATCTTCCAGCTCCCATCCTTCTGCCTAACCCACGTGTCTTGATACTGAGCCTTGTCGATCAAGACCTTGCTATTGTCTACAGGGTTCGCAACGCCGGTGTAGGGGGTGAAGTAGTGCGTAGCCTGGAAGTATGTAACGGACACAGCGCTGGTAAGACTGCAGATGTGAATCATTTGCGTGCCGAGGTGATGCTGAGTGGAGACAAAGTTGTTCAGACCGGGCGCCAGGTTGTCAATGATGGCTTGTACACCATTCAGTACACCGATGGGGTCAGAGTAGTTGGCACGGGCGTCAGTAGTGAACACCTTTCTCAACACTTCGTAGTTGCGACCATCGATGGCGAGCGCATAGAGCGCCAGGGTCTGACGAATAGATTCCGTCGCAATTGGATCAGGGAGAGTCTGAGGCGTGAAAAGCCCCGCCAGATAGCTGAAGCTCACCGGCCCAGGTGCAATCTTGGGGCAGTCGTTGTTGCCCACACCGGGGGATGCGATTGAGGCGCTATCGTTGTCTTGAGCTGAAACAAAGGGTAAGGCGAACAGAGCCGCAATGTGCAGTGTGGATGCGATGCGCATTTTCATACAAATACGTAGCAAGGATGTGGGGTTGGGATAGGTATGGTTCAGAAGAACGTGGGTGGAACAACGAATCAGAGTCGAGCAACCAACTAAAGCCTTAGGATTTGAAACAGATACTAGATGGTTGGGTTGGTAAATAAGTTTCGTGCTAAGGGCCGATGCCAGGAAGAAGTAGCAGAGTGTGAGAAGTTTTTGATGCCGGTCGATGGTACCTATGTATCACGCTGTAATCCTACGCTAACGGTATTTGATTCTCACGAACCAGTACCACGTTGATGGCTGATCCTGGATGTCAGCAGAGTCAGATCTTTAGACGTTGAGACTGACAGCAAGACTGAAGCAACATTGCCTCTCATGCGGGGCGTATCTTAGCGAGATTGGGTGGCGGGGTATCATTGCAGCGATCAGGCCGTACCGTACCTCAGCCTTTTCCGACTTTTATCGCAACACCTGCATAGACAATGCATGTCTTTCACGAGTGCAGTTACCTAGATAGGTCTAAGTAAGCAAATGCGTGCTCTGGAGATATTCTGCAGCGCTTCTCCTTGACCTTTTGTTCGTGCGTTGTTTTTCGCATGGGATGCTGCCTAGGCACGTGAAGGATAACGTACAGCGCAAGTTCTTCTGAAGGGAAGTTCTTTGTCGACGAAGTGTACAACAAATATTTTCCTGATGTGCTTGCTTCGATTGCGATGGTACTTAGGTGCCATCTTCGCCAGCCGGCTAACAACGGCGGAGTTTTCCAGAGCCACAAACGCTCTTCACTTCACAATCGAGTCAAACTGTATGGAAACGCTCTTCCGGTGCGAATAGTGACTGATTCAACGATTCAGGGACTGCTGTAGGTCGAACTAGTGTTCCGAAATGGCCTTGTAGCTTTCCAGGCCTATATCTGATATCAACAAGACAAGAAAATCTTCAACAACAATTATATGACCCCCATTAACCAGCTCTTCCATGTTGGTTCAGCCGTTCCAAGGTTACGTTACGATTTGTTATTTTGCCGATATTCGATTTAGAAGAGTTGAAGGGCATGCTCGCTATTGGGGACATCTCGCTCGACAACATGAATGAAAGAAGGCATGCCGAGGCACTGAATAGCGACCCCCCGTAAGGATTGAGCAAGATACTCACGAATAGTGCCTTAGCCACTCGCAGACATTCAGTCATGGCATCGGAGGGAGAGTCTCCTACTTATGTTGAAAGCAGTTGAGGTTCGTGGTAGGAGAAGGGGAGGCAAGCTTCGGTAAAGAAGAAGCTTTGTTAGGCTGAGAAGCTAAACCTTTGAAGATGTGTGCTACTGAAATAGATGGGGATGGTCACCAGAGTGAAAAGCCGCACTTCATGAGTATTAAAGTGGCCCAGGACCATATCCATTTGCGGGCGGGAACGTCTATGAAATCCCATTATAACAACGATACTCGAATGAAATACTGACTATAAGTATAGATTGCACTTTGGCATGCCGCTCGAGTGGCTGAAGTAATGGGGTGAGCCTCAACGAGAAAACATCAATCCATCTAACCACTGGCACAGTGTATAGACACAAGTATCACGCCGATACTTCTAGGCATATCGATACAACACGATGACCCATGTTTTGGCAAAAAAACGATGTCCCATTCTTGGGCTAGAGAGCCTGCTTGATATGGCAAACAACTCAACGAGACTGGCCGCGAGCAGGCTGCTGGTTCGACCAGTGGGCGGATACATTGATGGCCATGGATGGTACCTGCGTTAGTTCTGATGTCGTTCTCGGTAGCTGAAGCTCCAGGGCCGACTCGGCTTTCGCCTAATATGCGGTCCTTTGAATTCGTATTCTGGTGTTGCCTTCGCTTTCTCCATCGTACCAACCATCTTCGTGCTCTATACTGGGACATTCACACGATTTCAAGCCGACATGAGCAGATATCTACCTATTTCCGAAGTCTCTTCTTCGCATCGTGAATGACTGACCGGACAGTTTGCCTGTTTGGTAAACACCAACTCCACTACCACATCCACATCCCATGTGCCAAGCATCAGGACCACCCCCAACAGGCTCTTGCACACTACTCCAGCGTCACACTCGGTAAATACGCCTACTCAGGACCTTTTAGTACCAATCAACTACCTTGCGGCGCAAGTTTTCGCCTTCTGTTACGGAAACTGAGTACCGCAATGTCCACCGCCAAGTCAACCCGCCGCCTTGGCTCGGTGCCCAGACATGTAGGTATATGCTATGCAGCAGCAACCCGAAGGCAAGGAATACAAAAACTTCAGCCCGGAAGTACCACCTTGAATTCTTCACCCTACTGCCTCTCACGAAACATTCTATTCAAGTCCTCGTAGCACTCTCGTTACCGCGCACCCAACTCGACAAGATACCCACGGTCATTTCTTCGAATCCATCGATATGAGGTTCTCAGTAATTGCTCTCCTCGCTGCGGCTACCGCCGTTGTGGCACAGGACACTGTCTCTGTGACTGCCGGTGGTGATTGTGAGCCTCACGGCGATCACTGGTAAGGAGATATGACTGTATATATGTTTTACAGATCCAAACTGACAGCATTCAGGCACTGCGCCGACGGCGTTCCAGAGCCTACTACCCCTCCTACCCCAGAGCAACTCGCTTCTCATTCTGCTGAGGAGGCCGCTGAGGATACAGCTGCTTCTACCCCTGCCTCTACCATCGCTTCAACTACCCTCACCGTTGTCACTTCTGGATCTGCCCTGGTCACTGCATCCGCATCCCACAGCCACGACGATGAGGACGACCACAACCATGAAGCCACCGCCAGCACTTGCGAGCCCCACGGTGATCACTGGCACTGCCCTGCTGGCGTTGCTGAGCCCACCACTGCCCCCGCCGAGACCGTCTCTGGTACTGCTACTGTCACTGCCAGTGGTGACGCTGCTGAATCTGCCGCTGGTAGCTCCAGCGCTCTCCCTGAGCAAACTTCTAACGCCGCTGTCGCTCTTGGCGCCGGCAAGGTTGCTGCTGTTCTCGGTGCCGCCGCTTACTTCCTGTAAGCGCGGACTAGCCTAGACAGTTTTGTTGGCCTTTGAATGCATCCAAGCTTTCAAATGAGCGGATATACATGTGACGGATCATCATATCCTGACTACATGACTTCACTGTACATAATAAAATACCGGATACTCACGACGATATCCTGTCTCTGAATCGAACGACAAAAATTTCTGTGTAAAAGATTAAGATTCGGTCTATTGCTCTACGTGATGACTTGGATTAAATATATATCTCATGCTATTCTACTATGGAATCATGTCGATTGCTAAAGCATACCTTAGAGTCAGCCAAATCGTGCGCTTCAGCATAGTGCTTGTCACATTGTTGATGATGAGTGCCGCAGTCGTGCTTTCTCTGAGACGTTCACTCATATGGGCCAAACGGAAACTGGATTTTGAGGTGGGATAGAAGAACAAACATACCTTCTTTCTTTGAAATGATAATTTGCCTATGAATATGCTGGCTGGGGCTTAGACATAGCTCCCTGAAGACAAAACGAAGTGTGTTTCGCTCTCCACAACTAACATATGTCTTGTCTCGTGTGTTGACAATGAGAAAGTCTCAGGCGCATCGATAAAGAACAAAGCCCAGCCATTATTGGACAAACAAGCATCCTCATGAATGAAAATGATCAAAATAACATCTTAGATTACATTCATTGCACACATCCTGCCATCGTTCGTGAAAAGATACCAACTTTGAGGCAGGCCACACGTTATCTTACCATACTCCAAGACCGATTTTTTCGTGAGGAGAAACCAATCCACACAATCAAGCACGACTCTGAAGACGAAAGTGAAACTCAAAATAATGGCATTCTCTTGCATCTCCCACATCTTCATCAATCTTACAACACCAACACAACCAGTCCATAAACCCAACCATACAGGTCTCATCCACCAAGCCTCTCTCCCAACAAACCCACCTTCCACGTTTCCTCCCGCACCCAATCAACCCACAACAGCATTCGCCCCCAATCTTGTATCCGGTGCAACGTTTCGCGAGCGCATGCAAGAAATCTTGTCGGAATCGCGGACAACAGAACGGATCGAAACACAAGACGAAGACAGGGGAGAAGACGGAACGAGTTGGGTGTTAGCAAACAAGGATGTGGACGGATGGAATATTGGGCGTGAGAAAGCTACGCAAATGTTTGTTAAGAGGAAGGGGAGGGGTGAGTTTAGATTCGAAGACGCGATGGTGGAGGGGTGGGGTATTGGATTGAGGGAGAAAGAAGCGAATTATCGCGTAATGGAGGAGTGTAAAAAGGACAATGAGCAGGAGGTACCGGACAGGCAAGAAATGTTGAGAGACGGTTTTAAGTATCGGGGATGGGTTGATGAGGAGATTTAAAGAAATTAGTGAGTGAAGAATAGCAAATCATATGAGAGGGAGGTAGCTGGGAACACTTTTGAAGGTGGAGATCATCTTCCTTATGAGGTAAAATGTCCACCGAAGAACAACGATGGAGGGACATAGGGACAGAGTATGACAGAACAAGTGTCACATACAGGTTTTGAAAGACGGTCAATATGCGTAATTATTCACCAGAGAGCAGGGACTTTCTCAGTACATAGCAATACTCGTTAGAACCCGACTTTCTTTCTCTTTCCGTGTCAGGCGGTTGTTGTCGTATCTTAGCTGTCGTGGTGATTTACAAGTGGTGGAAGGTACGTGTCGCATTATGCAAGGGGAATTTGCGTCCGAACCGTTAACTCTCTCGCCCACACTTCAAACCAAAGATCAATTGAAGGGCTTTTCTGTAGAATGTATGGTCCAGAAGAAGACTTGTGACCGTATACTCGGGAACTAAGCGCTACTGTCGTCCACCGGACGTGTTTAGGGACCACCTGTGCCGCATCGCTTTAACTCGTTGAATAAGAAGAAGACGGCTATATGGTAGTCTAGATCTCATGATCCACTATCGAATTGCGTGTCTACTGTGTATCAAAGAGGGCTACGACATACTGGCGTATCAGGGGCGATGCGCGAGGTGTCCCTTCGTATCGATTACACCTGAAGGACCATGACGCCGCACGCAACGCGTGTGAACGGTGTGTTATTATGCACATACATGCATAATCAACGATATAGAATATACTATTGAGTCGTTGACACATGAAATGGGCGGCCGGTAGTAGGAAATGCCTGCTTGCCTGGATGGCACTAAGAGAAGTATATAAAGCTTCTCACGTACGTTTTCTCCCATTCTCATCCGTCTCTTCTTATATTTTAATCGCTGAATCTACAATCTTCACATCTTCAAAGACATACGACCTCATCATGAAGCTCCTTAGCTTTACTTTCACGATCTTAACGCTCGCCGCCACCAGTGCAGTTGCAGCACCAGCACCTACCTGTGAAGGACGCTACTGTTATGTGTACCCCGAGCCATGGTCTGGTGTCCGCAAGAATGTGTCAGTAGACTGCAAGACCAACTCTGTTTCTTCTTTCATTTGGTGCGTAGGAGGATGTGAAAATGGTGCCTGCCTATGACCGAGTGGCTGAACTCAGAAGAAGCTAATGGAAACCTTGTGGTAATAGCGAAGGCTGATATCCCATTCTTTGAAGGTTGTAGAATGGGAAAGTGCCGTAGAGGTGGTGTGGTCGAAGTTCATCAAGTTCTTCTCTGTGGGGAATGAAATGATAATCTACTAGGTTGACCAAAGCATGCAAAGATGTAGCCTCCGAAGCAAATTGCCACTATCCTTTTCAGTCTTAATTACGAAAGAGCGAAGTACACGAAGTAAAGCTCTTTGACCAATGCCTCGCATGTGACTATCACTTGAAACAGGATCCATGAATCCTGTTACTTGGAGTCAACGGCCACGGCAGCTGGTACCGGTAAAGAACTGCATGAAAAATATCGTATTTCGACCGTCGAGCACCAAAAAACTAAGACCAAGACAAATCACAATGAGACGGCTGAAGTCATGAGTACTCCACGGTATTGACGAACTGAACGTGTCGAGTCTGAACACAAAGATAGACGATGAGGAGCCGTAACTACAGATCGTGTGGCCAGATAGAAGCGAGCTGACTTGGCACAGAACCGAGACTACTACTGTAATCAGGTAAGTTGACGCGTAAGGTGACGTATACCTACCCTTCTTAAGGCGGAATGTAAGGTTGACGACCGATACTATCCGTATTATCAGTGTTGCATACCATTGTGTTTGCGAACGCGGCTGTGTAAAACCCGAATAATCTATCTTGTCAATCCTAGGTCAAGTGGTATACTGTGCCCTACCCATGGAGCAGGGTTCAGGTGTTGGAATGTTCTCAGTCGCCATGAGGGGCTGCTGTTACGAACAGATAGACAGGACCGTGAATTCATGTTAGCGCCCTGCACTCCCTATGACACTGATTGACCAGCGCGCACCAGATACAAACAAACGATCTGCATCCGCACTTCTATTTCAAGCCTCGTATATAAGCAGTCGTCAAAAATGCCGCTGGACTCAACGTCTGCAGCCGCTGAACCTCCCGCATTAAGTAAGGGTGCCAACGTACCAACAGGCCCTCCACACCCGCATGCTTTTACCGATCAGATGAGTTCTTCTAGAAGGACAGTGGCTTCCAGAAGGCGGGAGCCGCCCTTCAGTAATGCACATGTAGATCTGTTTCAAGCCGTTCGGTGCTTGATGTACACTCCGATTTTATCGAAAGAGAGCGGAAGGAGCGTGCAGCATGCCATCGCATTGCAGACAGCAAGCCCTGTGGAATATCATGTATGTTGCCATGGACGAAAAGGTACGTGGTTATTGTTATCAGGCCACTCGAACGCAGGATGGTCGTCATGTGTGGTAATTTGAGTGCATGGTGGCTATCCCTAGGTTCCGGCCATTGGAAAGATGGGTATCTAAGGCCAAGGCCGTGCCTGCGGTAGACTGATCAAGATGACCCAGGGTCATGGCGTGGCTGTCCTCAGTGGGACATTCGTGTTCAGAAGGCGTTCAGTTATCGAGCTGGCTGGGCCTATGGCAACTATTTGAGCCTTGTCGCGTCTATTGGATAGTCTAGAGCAACGTGGCTCTGCAGTACCTTCAGGAGCGTTGGATTTAATAAGACGTGGTCTGACATCATGATAGTGCAACCAAGAGGAGGTGAGAACAGTGGAGCGTAGACGTCAGCCACAGGCATGCACCCAGCCTGGAGTTGTGGTGTACTGTGCTATCACGCTTTGCGCGATAGGCGTTGCGAAGCGTAATTCAAGGTACGCAAGTCCGTGCGATATTTCCGTGTTATGGAGATGGCATGGATGCAGCCCATTTGGCAAGGCTGCAGTTTTATTGAGGTGAAACGAGTGGGACATCCAGACCTCGGGCAATCAAAGCGCTGTTCGTAGCGGGCACAGTGACGGGTCAAGCTGGCTGAAGATACTTTGCAGGAAGAGTCGCGAGAGGGTGCAAATCATGTACGACTGTGGCCATAACGCGGCTACTCTTGTGAGTTATAGTGGGACAGTGCAGAGTTGCCCAGGGTATCCAGGGACGATGCCGGCCTGCAAGCGTTTCTTGCTCCTTGGGTACGGGGACGACCGCTTTAGACGTAACGGGCGGCAGACCGACATGACCGGACAGCCAAACTATTGAAAGTATCCGACCAGAGTTTCATCAACAAGGTCCATCAGGGTCGAGCGCGAAGTCCAAAAGACGATGCTGTGTCCAGCCAGGTTAAGCTCCGGAGGATTTGTCGGAGCCTAAGTGCGACACTCCTCCATCCAGCAGAGCGTTTGACATGTGCGCGTGGTGGGTTCGCGGCTCCCAATCAATGAAGGGTGAAACCTCCGCCTTCCGCAAACTCTAATGGTATGTTACTTTTGTGAGTCGCTCCAGCGGCGGATAAAGCGGGTGGTCTCATGCATGATTCGGCGGTACGTGATCGCCACAGGATTAAGCTAGACATGGACATTCGAGGACAGAGTCCTGCTACCACAATGGTTTGACAAAACTGCAGAGGGCTCACGATGTTGACAACAATGTGAAGCGGATCTGATCGCCCCAGGCCCTGGGGGAGGCTTCAACGGGAGAGTGCGCATCCCGGCCGCTGAGAGATACAAGAAAACTGGGGCTGCATGCTTCCGATGATAAAGTGGGCGAATCAAGGTGGCTGGAACGACGGGTAAAGGATCCCACTTGGCGCAATCCAGCAGAAGGGCAGCAGGGGCAAATCAGCCACGATGATCCTTTGGGAGTGGGCCGTTTCTTGCCCACTGCTTGTTGCTGGAATCCGCCTCGCTGGCCATTGGTTTCCAGCTTTCCAGTCGGCAGTCTGTCAGCAGCGGTCGCATGAAAAAGCACCGCTAGAGAACCGTTCATGGGGGGCGGTCAGCAATCAGGCAAAAACAAACACTCGGCGCTGGAAAACGATGGAGAGATGATGGACCTGTACATTGACATGGATGTGCGGATGATGGGCATCCGTCAGGCCATTTCAATCTGCTGTGCGCGCCAGCTTCGTCACACGGCACGTTCTTGGCATTTCGCGGTATCTCCCGTAGTATCATGCATCCCCCATACACCAGCGGACCTACCACAGAAACCGGCTCTGAACCCAGACGTGGCGTCGCAGCTGAGCGCCGCTTGGAATTAGCATAGTGGGAAGTGTGAAGGCGACCAGCAGTGGCGCTGGGAAGATTCAGTAGTACGGCAATGCCGTTTGCCTCGGTGTCTACCCAGCGCGCCAGGGCTCCCAGAAAGATGTGATGGAACGACACTGGTGCTGTTCATCGACGACCCGGGTGTGTGAGCTGGAACCGTGTGATCGGTGGGCCGCTCACCTAGTTAGTTTAACTTTGGTAAGCCGCGGGCCAATATGTTTCGGTTCCCGCCTGGTGCTCGCTTCGAGGCGTACGAGTCATGGCGGTGCCTCTCAGCCATCTTTTGGTGGATGGCGTATGCAGTGCATGCAGAGAGAGAAGGTGTGGAGAGAAGTCTTGTCCAAGGGCCTGAGCAAGTATGCATCCAGCGAGCCATGGTTCTGTCGAGAATGCACTGCGCCATGCCCCTCTGGCTGCTAGAGCTGCAGAGGCTGCAAGTGGGCGCGCGAGGCGTCCGCGGAGCATTCATGGGTTGCACGCTATCTACAGCAGACTAAACTCCCTTTGTTCGCTCCAGTTCGGCTAATACTGTCAGTGCCCAGGTGCAGATGAGCCTGATCGAGTGGGCCTCCCAGCCGTCCCCTCTCATAGCCGCGTGCCCTCAGCTCTCCCCATTCTTCACATATCCATCGCCGACTCTTGCACCCTCATTGCAATTGCGGCTTCCGACGACTGGTGGATCATTGAGTTGCGACCCGTGTAGGAGGATACTTTCGCTCATAGATTACTTTGGATAAGACGTGCCAGCCTCGCCGTCGCCTCTTTTCTGGCCCCCCAGCACCCGTCCCTCTCAGCACCACCAGCCATCGACCGCCGCAGCACAGAAGACAGCCCGTCTCCTCGCGCCCCCATCTTGGAAACTACTATTTCGTCGGACCTGTCGCTTTGCGCATTGTTTTGACAGCGCTCTCGCATCTCTGTTGGTAAGTTTTCCCATGCCGTCCTGTCCGTGTTCTTGGGATGCCGACAGTCCGGACACGCGTCAGCCAGCGATGCGGACGTGGCCCTGCGGCATCCACGAGATGCGCTCATGGCAGTCAGTGCCAGAGACATGTGCTGACAAAGCCAGATTGCGTGCATACCGTGGTTGAGAAGAGCGCATTTGCTGTTCTAGCCTACCCAACCCAGAGTACCAATTGTGTGGTTGCCGACGTAAGTGCGCCTTTCTGGTGGGTGGAGCGAGGTAGTCCCTGAGATCGACTCGCCCCAACTCTGCTACCACGCGGCATACTGACTCGCCATAGAGACGCAGCATCCATGATGAACACGATTGCTGTCAGCAACGAGACCAAGTCTCAGTTCATCCGCACCACCAAGGATGGCCGCCAGATCCGCTACAACCTGCAGGTAATCCAGCAGCCCGAGCGCGCGCGTGCCTGTGGTAGCGGCGCAAAGTCGAGTGCCGATCGCCGTCCAGTTGACCCTCCCCCAATTGTCGAGCTCCGCGTCTTCGAGAACGACCAGGAAATCACCTTCGCCTACAATGCCAACTTCTTCCTCCACGCCAGCTTGGAGAACGCGCGCCCCATCGCAGCCGGACGCAGCCAGTCTTCGGCGGGCCCCAGCTTCCCCGTCCTCACCGGTACCCCAGTTGCGGGCATGGCCTACCTCGAGCGCCCCACACCTGCCGGCTACTTCATCTTCCCCGACCTGTCGGTTCGCCACGAGGGCAAGTACCGCTTGAGCTTTGCACTGTTCGAGAATCTGGCAGAGGTCAAGGACCTGGATCCCGGCGACCCAGACGTCATCTACGATGGCAACCACTTTGTCACTCACCGTGCTGAGGTCAAGTCGGCACCCTTCACCGTCTTCTCCGCTAAGAAGTTTCCTGGTCTCTCCGAGAGCACTGCTTTGAGCCGCCAGGTCGCCGAGCAGGGCTGTCGCGTCCGCATTCGTCGCGACGTGAGGATGAGGCGCCGTGAGAACAAGTCGTCAAAGGAATGGGACGAGTACGATGAGGAGGGCGGTGGCTACGATCGCGCTCGAGGAACAGCGACCCCGGACAACTACCATCCCCCATCCAACGCCCCTCTCGATGACCGTCCTCGCTCCGTCTCCAATGCTAGCAACCACTCACTGGTACCGCCACGCCGTCCGAGCATGGAAGATATGGCACATGGCTACCCGGCTAGCAATAGCTACCAGCAACAGATGCCTCCACCGCAGAACCCTACCTACACACAGATGCCGTCATACGCGTCAAGCCAACAGCACCAATACTCGCAACAGTACTCAGCTCCACAAACAGCGCCTATGATGCAGTCTCCTCAACACTCCACTGCATACTCACAACATGCGCAACATCCACAGCACCCGCAACACAGTAGCTACTCGAGCCAGCACCAGCCTCAGCCACCAATGCCTGTGAGCCAACAGTATGGATACCCCAACTACCAGCAGCCGGCGCACTATGAGCAGGTGCCTCCCGCCCGTCAGGAACAGGTGGCTCCCGAGTATGCTCACCCCGTCGAGTACCGCCGTCCGTCTGTGACCCAGCCGTCCACCCAACAATACTCGGCACCTAGCCACTCGATGCAATCGTATGGCTCTATGGATCAGTACAATCGGCCGCAGCAAATGAGCCAGCCTTTGCAGCCTCTGCAACCCCTGCACACTTCTCCACAGGCGTACGCTTCATCTACCCCTAGTGCCGTGCATACGCCTAGTCACCAGGCGCTGCCATCATTGCGACCCATTGTCGCCGACAAACTGGAGCCTGTGTCGCCTTCTTACCAATCGCCTCCCGGTACTCTCTCAGCCACCATGTCTGTCAACTCTGACGGTTCTGCCCAGAACTACGCTCTGCCCAAGTTCAACCCACAGGCACAGGGTCTTCCGCCCATGTCAGCCGGGTCCAGCAACAAACGTTCTTTCTCGAGCACCTTCGATTCTCGTCACCTGAATGAACGCATGGTTGCAGGAAGCAGGCCTCAACCGACCGGTGCCGGCTACACCTACGATACTGCCGACTCTCCGGACATGGAGGAGCCAATGGACCGAGCGGCCATGAGCTATCGGCGTGCGGACGGAACGCAACGTCAACGTCATGTACCCGCAGTCGGTCACTGAAGTTGTTCACTGCTGACGGCCGTGTTGCCGTAGTAGGAATGGCCTCCAGCCTGTACGTTGCATAGGGATCTGTTGGTGGAGTACGGCGTTATGTGTGCTGTTACGGATCTAATGTGCTCTGATCATCTATACCCCTTGAGTACGACGAATGCGCGATCTGGTCACGGCAAGCTTTCCGTCGTACACTTGTATTTTGTCTTTCAATGCTTTATTGCCCACACGTCAGCTGGTGAGCTGCACACTACCTTTCCTTTTATTTTCCTGTTACACAAAAACATCACTTTACTACCCATACCCCTAGCGAGCCATCACTTGCTCTATTTCCTTCTCTCTATTATTCCTATCGTGTATTTTGCTTGGAAGTCCTGAACAGAACATACAGCTCAACAAAATGAGAGCCTTGTCCTTTCCTTGCATGTGTTGATGAACTCGTGATTCTATTTCCCACAGGCTCCAAGTTGCGAACCTGGATAATGGGATAAGAAAGTACATACGTGGCTATACGACATGGGAGGTTACTTGTAGTTTGGATACATTCCGTAGGCTAAATCTATGGCATGCTGTGCGTTGTCAACCCCTAGTTATGATGCCTTTGTGTTAGCCATGTGTGGATCTCATCAGCCTTGCGTCCGTCCGAAACCGGCCCATCTCCAGAGTACCCCTCCAACCTACCCCGCGTCCCAAAACAGATACACACGATCACGCAATTTCTGGGCGTCCTACCAGGACGTGCGCTATGCAATCGAGACATACAGTATGGCCGTCTCTTACACATAATGGGTTAACGGATACACAAAAGGTTTTCAAGTTATACCCAAATGGGCATCGGAATACCTGTCACCAGCCAATGATAACATGGTACGAGTGTGACTATGGCTGTCAGCACAGTTCCGAAGTAGGAAGCTACTACGATGCTCTGGATACCAATGTAATCCACACCCGCGTGGGAGTGGATGACGTGACGGACGCGACTTTTGGCACAATTAATCGTCTAGTCCTCCCCTCTTTCCAAATTCCGTCTCTCGATCACCTCTAACAGCACCGTGAACACCTGAAGCTCCTTCGCTCAACACATTACAGCAATATACAATCTGAAGACCAGGACTCAAAATGTCCGAGAAATTGTCCAAGAATTTCGAGACGCTTCAATTGCACGCTGGTAAGCATTTTCCAGTCTCTCTCTTTCCATAGCTGCTAACATAGATGAAACAGGCCATGAGCCAGACACAGCGACGAACTCTCGTGCTGTACCTATTTACGCGACCACAGTACGTTGTGAACCGACAAAGACTCCCCTTGAACAAGTCTCGGACTAACATCAGTAGTCATACACCTTCAATGATAGTGCGCATGCCGCGAGTCTCTTTGGCCTCAAGGAATTTGGCAACATATACAGTCGTTTAGGGAACCCCACCGTCGGTGTACTCGAGGCGCGTATCGCTGCGCTTGAGGGTGGTGTGGCAGCACTGGCAACAGCATCCGGTCAAGCTGCTCAGTTCATCGCCATAGCCGCTCTGGCGCATGCTGGAGACAACATCATAGCGACTTCGAACTTGTATGGAGGCACGTACAACCAGCTCAAGGTCTTCTTCCCACGTTTGGGGGTGCAGACAAAGTTCATCAATGGTGACAAACCAGATGACTTCAAGGCTGCTATCGATGAGAAGACGAAGGCGATATATGTAAGTTTACGCGAAGAAATCTCTGAACAATGGCTAACCCATGCAAGCTTGAAAGCATTGGCAACCCAAGGTACAATGTTCCCGATTTTGAGAAGATTGTAGCAATCGCGCACGAGGCTGGTGTTCCTGTCATTGTCGACAACACATTTGGCGCCGGAGGATACTTCTGCAGGCCTATTGACCATGGTGCTGACATTGTTGTGCACTCTGCAACGAAATGGATTGGAGGTATGTGTTTGCGACTCTCTGGTAGGCACAAGCTAAAATACACAGGTCACGGAACTACGATTGGTGGTGTGATAGTCGATAGCGGGAAGTTCGACTGGGGTAAGCACGGCAAGCGCTTCCCGCAAATGGTCGAGCCATCAGACGGTTACCATGGACTGAAGTTCTGGGAGACATTTGGAGCCATTACATTCATCATCCGAGCACGTGTCGAAATCCAGCGAGACCTGGGCGCAGCGCTCAATCCATTCGCCGCCCAACAGCTGCTCCTTGGTGTGGAGACGCTCTCCTTACGAGCAGAGAGACACGCATACAATGCACTGAAGTTGGCGAAGTGGCTTGAGAGCAACAAAAACGTAAGCTGGGTATCTTATCCTGGTCTCGAGAGTCATCCGTCACACGAGCTAGCGAAAAAGTACTTACCGCGTGGTTTCGGAGGCGTACTATCCTTTGGTGTTACAGGAGGCGGTGCAGCAGGTAGCCAGGTTGTAGACAACTTCAAGCTCATCTCCAACGTAGCGAATGTTGGCGATTCAAAGACGCTGGCTATCCATCCCTGGACAACAACACACGAGCAACTGAGCGACGAAGAGAAGATCAACTCTGGTGTAACCGAGGTAGGCAAATCGTCACTTGACTTCACAGTTATGACTTGCTGACAGGGTACAGGATCTCATCCGTATTTCAGTCGGCACAGAACACATCGACGACATCATCGCAGACTTTGAACAATCGTTCTCGAAGTCGGCAACGAAGCCTCAGGAGAAGGGTCAGCCGGAGAATGCGGATAAAACTGGCAGTGCTGAGCCCTCTGCTTCATTGTCTGGTTCCACCTAGGAGTGTCTAGTGATTCCTAGACTGTGAGGCGTTGGATACGGCAGAGGTGAAGGCTATGTTGTGAATGCCCGGGAGAGCAGTCGGACTTGCGGACTTTTTCCTTATACTAATTGTAATCTGTTCCTTGAATCGTCTCTCCCATATCTCGTACGAGGTCGCATGCTCGTTCTTTAGTTTGGTGCGTGACGGCCAAAGCCGCCGAAAACGCAACAATACAAGCCGAGGCATCTTCCCCGCCAATCAGAATAGGGCCGCTCCATCGCGGAACAAGGGTTGTGTCCGCGTGGTTTCCTGGGGAAGATCTCACACTGGGGCGGCATGTGAAAGCGCGATCTTGCACATGCGCATTTGCACGTCAATACCCTCTCGTTGAATGAATGTATTCACTCAACGCCAGCGCGACTTGCTCAGTGCTAACCAAGGGTGAGTGCCCCGTAGCGTTCCCCGCGAACACATACAAGGGAGGCGCTGATGCGCAAGTATGGAGAAAAGCGGGCGCCGAGACACGGGGCTCAGCTACATTTGGCGCACATGACCGGTAACACGTTGGCTTTCGGTGCTGAGAGCGCAGCATGAGCCTTGGCCCAGTTTTCATCTTCGTTTCAATTGGACAGGCGCGTCATGACGACTTTGCCGAGGCACGTTTTGCGCCATGGGAAATTGTGGGCTCTGGCTTAGTTCGTAGCATCAACCCTTGCTTTCGAATCGCTGTCCTGTCTCATCTTCTCTATTCTGTTTGACCAACTACAGTTGTCTGGATTTGTTGCATCTTTTTCCGTTCATAATTGTCAGTTGAAGAGAAGAGGAGAGATACTGGTGGCTAGGGCTATAGGTATGTGAGGTCACCTGCGTAATGGAAGCTCAGGCGTGCCATGCGCCAACTTCCATAATCGACTGTCGTTTACCAAGAGCTTCGCTGATGTATACTATAAAGTAGAAAGCTCTCACTATCTCGTCAGCATTTTCTCCACACGCGACACGAACTCGTATCTTTCGACCGTTCCGGACGAAGCGACCACTCGAAGCCTATCAAATCGAACCTGTATATATAAAGGCTAGCAAACATGTTCGGATCTACAGATGCTCAGATCGATCGCGCGGCCGAGCTCCATGAGCCTCCGGCCAAGGGACAGCCTTACAGTGTAGCGTTGCCGGGCTCGGAGGCAGAGGGAAGGAGTGCTATCTACAGGCACTGGAGATTTACAGACAAGCCTCTGCTGGACCACCTGGTCCCCGAGATCAGAACACCACACGAGGCGTTTGAGAACTCGGTTGCGAAATGGCCCAAGAACAGATGCCTGGGACACCGCCCATACGATACCGCTACCAAGACCTTCGGCCCTTACGTTTGGGAAGACTACGAGACGATCGCTAAGCGGAGAACCAACTTCGGCGCTGGTCTTGTACATCTACATAAACAAGCTGGCGTTGCCGCACCCAAGTACGGTATTGGACTGTGGTGTCAGAACAGGCCGGAATGGCAAATCACTGATCTGGCGTGCATGTCCCAGGGCCTCTACACGGTCTCCATCTACGACACTCTAGGCCCGGACACGACCGAATACATTATCAACCACTCCGAGTTGAACTGTGTGGTTGCTGGAATGAACCATGTTACGGCACTGTTGAAGCTGAAGCCTCGACTACCCTCGCTCAAGATTATTGTGGTTCTCGACCCACTTTCAGCTGGCGAGCTCCCTGGCGAGTCCAAGGGCGACCTCCTGAACTCGCTTGCTAGTGAGCAAGGTGTTGCCATCCACTACATCCGCGATGTTGAGGCTTTGGGTGAGAGGCAACCGATTCCGATGAACCCGCCTACACCCGAAGACATTGTTACCATCAACTACACATCTGGCACAACAGGCAACCCCAAGGGCGTCGTCTTGTCCCACCGAAACGCACATGCCGGAACATGCACTTCCATGGTCATGATGGGTAGCGGACCTGGCGAGATTATCTGCTCTTTCTTGCCCTTGGCGCACATCTATCAGCGGTTGGGAGAACACAGTGGGCTGGCAACTGGCGCTGCTATTGGTTACTTCCACGGAAACATCGCAGAGCTCGTAGACGACTTGCAGATGCTACGACCAACCATCTTTTCGGGTGTACCAAGGCTGTACAACCGCTTCGGAGCCAAGATCAAGGAAGCGACTGTCCAGACAACTGGCATTAAGGGAGCACTATCCCGACACGTGGTATCGACCAAGCTGGCGGCCGTCAACGACAAGCAAAACCCAACCAACAAGCACATGCTCTACGACCGCATTTGGGCTAAGAAGGTTTCTGCCGGTCTCGGACTGGATCGTTGCAAGGTCTTGGTCAGTGGCTCTGCACCCATTGACCCTAGTCTGCATCAATTCCTCCGTGTTGTGTTTGGAAGCAACTTTACACAGGGATATGGACTGACTGAGACGTATGCCGTTGCGCTTGTCCAGCATGAGGGTGACTTCTCGGCTGGTAACTGTGGTGGCGTTGGGCCCAACACGGAGTGTGCTCTGCTCGACGTGCCTGACATGGAGTACATGTCTACTGACAAGCCGCATCCCCGTGGTGAACTCCTGATCCGCTCTGCGTCGCAGTTCAAAGAGTACTTCCGTAATGAGGAGGAGACGGCCAAGGCTATTGACGCCGACGGTTGGTTCCATACTGGCGATATCTGCTCTGTTGACGAACTCGGCCGCTTCAAGATCATCGACCGCAGGAAGAACGTCCTTAAGCTCGCACAGGGAGAGTACATCTCACCCGAGCGGATTGAGAACGTGTACCTTGCCAACTGCAGCTACCTCGCGTCTGGCTATGTGCACGGCGATTCGCACCAGTCGTTCCTTGTGGCTCTCTTTGGTGTTGCGCCAGACATCTTCCCGCAATTCGCGTCCAAGGTGCTGGGCGAGAAAATTCCGGAAGGTGACATTGAGAAGCTGAAGGAGGTGTGCAAGAACAAGAAGGTCGAGCAGGCAGTCCTTAAGGAGCTAGACAAGGTGGGACGAAAGAACAAGTTCAACAGCTATGAGCGTGTCAAGGCTGTAAGGTTGTTTGTCGACCCATGGACCATTGACAACCAACTTTTGACCCCAACGTAAGTTCTCTACTTCACGGTGCAAGATGGATGACGGACTAACAAAAAAACAACAGATTGAAGCTGAAGCGCCCGCAGACGGTCAAGGCCTTCAGGCAGCATCTAGATGACTGTTACGAGGAGGCGCTGGCGGAAGAGTCGAAGCCCAAGGCGAAGTTGTAGAGGAAGCATTTGCAAGTTTGGCGTGTCGTGGCCGCAAGAGGATACCTAGATAGATTGCATGGTTGCTTTCCTAACGCGTGGACGCTCAGGCAACCCGTGCAAGTGTTGTACCACGGAACTGCATATAGACGACTCGACCGAGTGTACAGTAGCGTTGATAATACAAACAGAACATGTTCATCAAGACGATTGCGAGACCTGGCCGGCTCAACTGCTGGCAAGAAGATTTTGCAATTTGCAAGCGGTGAAGGACAGCGGACAACGTGTCACGGGCCGTGGCGGGCTACAGCGAGCAATCAGTGGGCGCCAAGTCGTGCATGACAGGGTCCTCCTCACCTCGGATACGATACCTTGTAATTGTTTATGTCCGACCAAAGCTGCAACCACCCAGCGCAACTTCTCGACCAACAAGTCCAAACAAAATATCGCAACCCTTCCCACATTCCACCCTCGAACCTGCTCCACCTCCTCTTGTCCCAATCACAAAACTGCATCTTGGCGCTGCGAGCACGATAAACGGATGCCCGTCACGCGCGCAGCAGCTCAGGCCATGAGCGACGACGTCGACGAGTCGACACAGCCGCGCGCATCGCGCTTCAAGGAGCACACCAACACGAATGGCAGCATACGACCGCCGCCCGACGAGCTATGGAAGGACATTGGCATTGAGGAGCTGATTGAGCAGTTCAATGAGGAGAACTCGAAGCCGCCGACTTCGCGAAAGAGCTCTGCGAATCGTGTGCCTCGCCTGGTCAAGTCTTCTTCACGGGCAGCTTCCGGGAGCGCGACGCCTTCAGATTCTGGCGTCGTGACAACCATACATGGATCGGCATCGACGCCGTCCGAGGGGACATACGCCCGCCTCCAGCGCGCATTCGCGTCCATGTTCGGCAGTGTCCTGGGCAAGCGCAAGGCCGGGGCCACAGATGCAGAGCGCGAGAGGGACCAGTACCAGCAGATACTAGAGGAGCGCAAGAAGGCCGCCGAGATTGCGTACCACGAGGCCAAAGACCTCGGTCTTCTCCCTACGCCAAAGGTCTACGTGCGACCCGCCATGAAGTCGCGGCAGGTTGGCACCCCATCTCAGCCTGTCGCGGCCGAGAAGATGCAGCTGGGCTTGACCGCAGCCATGGCCGAGGCAGCCACACCTGTCCGAGCTCCACGAACACCAACTCTCCGTCACACCCCGAGCAAGAAGGATCTGTACAAGCAGAAGAAGCTCACCAAGCGCGTCTCGGACCTCGAATACAAGCTCGCCTCCGCCCGCAAGGAGCTCCAGACGGTCCTCTACAGCGACGTACCACCTGTCCCACGCATCCCCGACTTCGCACCACCTACACCCGACGTCACGCAAAGCGAAAACGACGGCAGATCGCCAAGTGCCACCCCGGTCACTGAACCTCCTCAGAGCATCGGCAAGATTGTAAAGAAGCGCAAGGCCATCGTCAACGACTCGGACGGCGAATACAAACCCATATACACCGATTCCGAGGGCGACCTCGATCTTCTCTCCGCCCACTCCGCCTCCGAAGCCGAGATGCCTGAGCGCAGCATAAAACGCCCCAAGAGCGTCAAGAGCCCTGCAGGCAAGAGTCCCAGGAGGGCCAGTTCGAGGTTGGTGAAGAGGTTCTCGAGAAACAACTTGAGGAGTGAGGAGCCTGTCAGGGTTGTGCCCGACGGTATGGATGTACCTGATGTGCCTATCATACCTCACGATATGGAGAGCAAGGGAAAGAAAGTCAAGGTCAAGGCCAGTGATGATGGATTTGGAGGGTTGGGCCACGAGATCTTCTGACTCGGACACCGATGATTGGAGTCCCAGTTTCTGGTTCTGCATACCAAGAGCATGTTGGCGAAAGCTTGTCTAAGGCGACAGTGGACGTCGGCTACTCTAACTTGGAATATCTTGCATAGCACCTGGCGTGCACGGGAAGGCGTTGCCGGAGCTCTTGTTCCCCCTTTCTCAACTAGTTTCTCTTCTCTTTCCCTTTTGTCAACTCCGTTTGCATCTCCCTCTTCCTTACACTGTGTGTGGGCCCGGGTACTATCTTTCTTCTATCTCTGTTCGCTACAAAACTTGGAGCTTCTTTACATGTCTGGGCATTCGTATAGTCATTCTATTCACGAAAGCGACGATATCACGACCATAATAGCGAATACAAATAATACTTGTTTTTGTACATACTCCTAGTCGCGAGGTAGGAACATAGTTGGGTATTGTACAGGTTTAAGAGCGCTCACTTTTGAAACTAGAACCGATAGCTTGCGATACTGTTCTAGGAGAGTTGTTGGTCGAAATGTCTCAATGCTTCATATGATCAAGCTGCTATACTCTATTGTTACCATCTGAGACACGGCCAGACATGCCCAAGTTGCAAGGCTGTTCTCTATAATCCGATGGGTGGTCATTTGGATGAGCGTGATATTGGAAGGTACGAATGTGATGATACCTAAGTAGTGAAAGAAGTGGTGTTGAAGACGAAGGCATGCGGGAGCGGCAGGGAACTAGACTGGAGGATGGAGGTCGTGCACGTTGTAGCAGAGGAGCCTCTCTATCTCTCTCTCTCTGGCTCTCCTTCGTTGTCTTCCTCAGACTCGTCTAACACCCCACCACCTCGCTCTCACGATTTATGGTCCCGCCGCCACCGCCACCGCTCACCCTCCTTATCTTCCTCGTCGTCATATACCCTCTCAGCCTCCTCTACCAGAACCCCCGCCATCAATACTTTCGTACCCGACCTCTGGGCTAGAACCTGGAATCTCGTGGCTGAGAGCATGTCACTAACGCCGGTTGATGCGCCACGTTCACGTAATATCACTCGTGCACAACTCATCATGCTGATACATGATGCGAATCCCCTTGAAGATGAGTTTGAGAACGCGATGGTCGACCATCTTGTTATCGGCGCGAGGAAGGTGGTGATGAAACATCGGCGGAATGCGCAGTATGGTGATCGGGCAGAGTTGAGAAATGAGCGGGAAGATGTAAGGTTAGCAGTAAGGTATAGTGTATGAGGGGCTTTCAAACTGTTTTCTTTTGCTGGCCAGAACGACGAGGTGCATAGAACGTAGGCCTAGACCATCTTCCTTTCTTCTTCATGATACTACCGAGACTGCACTGGTATGTTGAACTAGAAGTGGAGATTCCGTCCATATCAAGCAAGCTATTCGGAGCCACTGCCGTACTCATGTAGAAGCGGACAGACCCGTCCGGAAAAGGACACCTCGGATGACGGAGTTTGAACATTCAAACCATCTGTTCTTTGAATTCATACACTTGAATGCTTCCAAATAACCTTGCATTGACGGATGATCATCCCCGCACGTACGGCAGCTGTTCCCATTCTGTCACGGTCGTGCGGGTTAACCGGGTGTGGCAGGTCCATCGGCCAATTGTCAGACAAGGATATAGTTCCGCTACAACTCTACCCCTGCGCCGCGGATCGCCCCACGTCATCGATAGGCCAGCCTAGATACGACAATGGGTATTGTTTGCGCAATATATATAGTTGGTCAGATCATGTCTCTCGCATGCGGTTATAGCCCTGCAACTTCCTCCCAGTAGGATTCTTATGTACGAACACAAATCTGACAATATGGCGGACGAAAAGAAAGAGCAGGCTAAGCGCGTTGCGGCTGAAAACGGCGTGTGAGTATTCTCGTAATGATTTCCAATGATGGAACAATTGCTGATAAGTTGTAGTGTCAACCCTTCAGGTGCGATGATCGCTGCTTTTGCACCAATGTACCTCGCTGCCATACCTGTTACGTGCGTCTGAGTTCCTGAGCCTCATCTCAAGAGCGCAACCACCCAAGTCGAGCTAGAAACTAATCGTTGTCGCGAAGTTCATACCTCACAAAACCAAACAGCGTGATGCAGTCCTTGGTGCACGCTCTCATCAAGTTAATTCCTGGAGTTACTGTACGCCTCTCCCTTTTCCCACTTCAACTTCTCCCTTCATCTTGTACTGATAATTCTCCTTAGACAACAGCAATAACATCCGGTCGCGCTATTCCCGCACTCTCAGCCATTTACCTATTCTGGACTTTCGGCGCTTCGGGTGCTCTCTCTGCGGCAGGGCAAGCCATGGGACGAGAAGAGGGCCTGGACATTCAGCACTCGAGAAAACATATTCACAAGCTGGATGGGTTGCCGTTGAGGTTGAGAAGTGCGCATTATGCACTCATGGAAAACTTTCCAGGTAAGCTGATGGTTGAAGAAGGCTGTCAAATTCGCCAGTGAAGAGAGTCGCTAACGAAGATCTGATTGTTGCTTTTGCACTCGCTGCTGCTCTTGCACAGGTTCTCGCGCCTCAAGACGCGCAGGTAGTGAATCTGCTGGGATATCACGTTATTGCCAAACTGCTTGTGCACTACCCGTCTTATTTGAGCAATGTAGCTTTGCCAAGGACAGCTGCGCATGTCACTGCAACGGCGGCACTGATTAACATTTGCTGGAGACTGGCTGCCGGCAACTAGAACGGCATTAGGTACACCGTGACTTTATAGTGCTAGTGTAATACTGAAGATATCAATCCAAATCCTGCACAGGTCAATTTCGGAGGAGGTTTCGAGGTACTTGTTGCCGAGCAAGAGAGATGCTATACGAACTGAATCGAGAATGCACACATGTCTTGTCCGTCCATCAATATCCCACTATTTACACCCGACCAAGATGCCGCTACTACTAAGCAAGACTGCGATGCTGACACCATTTTGTCTACGCCGAAGAGCGCTTATTTGCACCATTACCCTCATACTTGAACTCGCTTTCGTAGTAGTTCTGCTCCACGGTATCACCTTCGTCAATGTCTTGCGCGTTCAAATTGTGGCACTATACCTATAGGTGGATCGTTATCTTGCTGGTTTCCCTGTACCAGGAGGAAAAGCGCGCTCTGGGCTACTTTGCTCCCCTTACGTGGCAGTCACATGCAGGGAAAGTCGAATCCGGAAGATTCACTGCTACATCTTGGCAGTTGCTTCACTTTTGATCACGTACTTTGAGCTTGGCTCGAGTCGTAATCGTAGTATATAAAGATAGGTATGTATACGCGCGCCCAAACATGTATCCATATACCTTCATCCAGGTGCAAACGCCACTCGCAGAACCCATTGGTTCTACGATTCCTCACATTCTTACTACGTATAAATATCACCACTCACTGCAACTATGAGCTTCCTGAAATTCCTCTTCGTCATTGTCTTCGCTCTTGCCACAGCGATCGCAGCTCCTAGCCCGCACATCGGCATGGTAAACAACGACAATGTCCGTGATGTCGGCGTGGTTTACTCTCAGCCGGGGTACGCTTCGAAGCCCGAGTTTCTCCTCATGGACAAGAAGATCCCTAAGTGCAATCCGCTGTACGCAACGCTGCCAATTCTCACATGATAGTCACTGACGCGTAATAGTGACGATAACAATATCTGGTCTATCATGATATGCGTCGAATCCATCGAGTGCGACTTCTGAAAAGTGCGTCATATCCATAGGAGTATACTCCAGTAAGTAGGCTGACAAGTGACAGGACATTGGCTGCGGATCGACATCAGGTGAGCAAGCCGTCTTCACGGTCGGCTGCGGCGATGTCCATGATGTCCCTCCTGCTTTAGCTAGCAAATACGGTTCCTATACCTGCCATTCTGTTGATCCAAACGCTCCCGGATTTCACGGCGCTGTTAAGCTCGAGACTACCCCTCACGGCCCCAACAACGACCTTTCAGGTCAGGTATGAACTCAAGTTCTTCCTAGATACATGTATGCTCTATTGATTCTCTGAAAAAAAGTATCTTTATCTTGGCTAAAAGTTCAACATCGATGCCACGGAACTATGAGCCTGACTTGTTGAGTTCCGTCGGGATTGCAAGACTGGTCTGACAACATGTGATGGGCTTATCTCTGGAAACATATCTGAAGGCCTATGTGATAACCACATGTAAGACTGGAGCTAGGCGCAGTACTGGTGTAGACTTGAGAGCGTGTACGATCGGATCTTTGAATTAATGTCTAATATAAGAACACATCTTATCCACTCCTATGCTAGACACTTGGAACCTAGAACTTGCAGTCACCTCACAAGCTCCGGTTTTAGCGTTGCAACGTACTGATCTGAAACAGCTGCAATGTGATATTACAATACAGACATCCGTGCTACTGCCGCGTTTCAAGTTGATCGACTACAGGGTATAATCAGTATCTGCCGCCAATCAAAAGTAACGCATCACGAGACATGGAGCTAGTTGACGCAACATATCCATGTAGCAGATAAGGATACTTAGGAATTGGACTTGAAAGCTTAACACTTCCGCTGATAAAGTCCGCCATTGATCGCATAGTCTCGACTCCGCTACGCCTTCGACTTCTTGCCCAACAATGTTATCTGCGAGCCCTCACTAATGTGTACTCTTGGACCCGGTATATCGCTCGCCTTTTCCCTTTTAGGCAGACCATCAAGTTTCTTCCACATGAGTTGTAGTTGAATGTGCCCTGGCGTGATGCCCAATTGCTGTGACCCCCAGCGAAACTGCCATAGTGAAAGGGATTCATTGGCGGTAGGGATGCGCTTGGCGTCGTAGAAGCATGCTATATCACCGAAGCAGAGGAATACGTATGGAAATCCTGTCTATATACGTATCAGCGAAGTTTTTCAATGCGGCGAACTGGAATTGACACGTACTATTGTGTATAGCTCATCATAGATGTCAACGTTGCGCTCTCCACAGTTCCACGCGAAATCACCTTTCCCATAGTGACTATCGACATTCTCTTCCTGGCTATCGTCTTGGAACGTGCAGTTTCCGTTTTGAGTGCTGAGTGTATAAGGATAGTCATCTAGACGCTTGAACACACCGCATTCCTTAGCACTGCCGCTGTCGTAGACAAATTTCCCGTGTGCATCTAGACACCCCACACTAGACTCTGGGGTTGCCGTCTGCCAGTTGTCAGAGGCTAGGACGTAAATGTGGCCAATACCAGTGAAGTCTGTTTGCTGAATGCCAGCGTACGTAGGGAGAGCGAAGGAGGCAACAAAAAGAAGAAGTGTAGTCGGTATGTTGGCAAACATGATACGAAGGGGTTGATTCAGGTTCCGAGAGAAGAGAGACGAAATGTAAGCTTTCTGTCGGTAGTATCGTAGCGAAATGAAATCTACTCTAGAGAGAGGAAGTACCCAGACTTTTTATATTGATCGGCCGTCGCACAGCTCACACGCAGCAGGCCGCGCTTTCCAACAATGAATTAACCCTGCAAAATCATCACGCCGCCTAACTACGATCAGAAACTGATATCGTAGGTGGAGAGGAGGAACGCCCTTGCGAAGGTTATCCCAAGTATGCTGCACGATAGATTAATCTCCTCAGAAAACCAATTTCGGATCCCCTCCTCGTGATGACGGGTACAGTCTCGCTTCCCAAGTTGAGAAACACGAACCCCAAATACCTCGGTGGTGTCAAATGAACAGGAAGACGCTACTCGATCAGCACACGGCGTAACCCTGTACTTAATATCAAACGTTGGGCCTTAAAAGCACGGGAGTTTGTGCGTATGCAGCATTGTGCTAAGAGTCGAGGCGTGGTGCAAGTGTGCACAGGTCTACCAGGGCGGATGCGCCATGTGCCAAATCCCTTGAAACATGGCGAATCATCACCCAGTAGAGATATTAAGAACTAAGAGATCAGGCATTGACCGGCCTCGGGGCTTGTTTCGTTTAGCCAGAAGTGCCGCTGTAGATATGTCACACATGTAAGCGAAGGGTGGTGGGGAGAAGAGTACTCAAAGATCAAAGCGGAATGAGGGCTGAGCACCCATTTAGCCGAGGCGCTAGTCGAGAGTTGGACCTGGTTGTCGCTCACAACATCGACCCATTGTACTACTACATGAAATCAGAAGACGAAGCCTTTCAGTTTGCTTTGTTTTCGAATTTGCAGAACACAGTATCTGCGTGATCTGAGTGTAAGAATGGTCAAAATGTAAACACATACATGAGTGGTGAAGTTAGTACCTAGGTAGGCAAGCAGGACGATAAGATGACATATTTGACGCCATCAAGCTGCATGTCTCTCCTTGACCATTTCTTAGAAGTTTTGGAAGTTCGGTACATATCTCTCCTTACACCACGACACCAAAGTCCGACATGATGAACGAACGCTGGCCGCTCCTGTCGATCTCCCGCGACATACGTGCAAGCTCACGCGCCATCTCCGCTGACCCTAGCTTAGCGCTTTCGGCAGCATTACACATCACCCATGAAGTCCGGAATAGCGCCATATCCCGGAAGACTCAGAGCTATTTCTAGTAAACGGACTTGCAGTCGACCGAGCTGGTCTACACTTCCACCACCCCGACTAGAGAATCTTGTAAGTAGCGCATATAACCCTTTTCGCGCCTAAATTGTTTCCCACGAAGAGATCGTTCTACTTCAGCCCGCCACCATACAGCCATCGCACGTACAAGTTCTGCCGTTACCTGTTTCCGCCGCCACACGAGCCACGGTATACATGATCGAAAGTACTCTATTGGTGGACTCAGCGTTTACTCAGAACATCACCGGATTGTTGCTGTCTTCATAGTGCGTTGATGCGCCACCATTGCTGTGCCTTCCCCTCAAGTTTAGTAGATATCATGTTCTTTATCAATCTAGTAATACAGACGAGTTCCGTCACGTCACTTCAGAGGCACTTAGACCGGAGGATCCTCTAGGTGGTCTCCATTAGGACAGCGCAGTAGCCGGGCAAACGCATGCACGAGTAGCACAATAAGCGTTTGGTGGATTGTATATACATAATCTAGGAGTTGGTTGTCAATTATTTACGGATATGTTACCATTTAGAGTGAGGAACTATTGCAATATGCTGGGATAGATTCACCGAGGTTGAATACCATGGATATCCGCTATCTCGTTCATTCGGCAAGTGCTTACTAGTATGATTTGTATAGCTTCGTGCATACATAGCACTGCTTCCAGTATTGACGCAGTGTGCGTGAATGTAGATGAAAGAGTTGACTCCGGACCAGTTGTTAGAACCGTTCCACCTTGTAGCTCAGCACCAGCAAGATATCGAAACATGTCAAGCTCTACGCCTCTGGTCGATGTGAAACACACGGACTGGAGGAATTTCTAGAATTCCACAACTGTGTTCTTCAAACGATGACCGGGCTATGCGCGTTCTGGGGCGATATTTGTAGGACGGTCAAAAATAGACCATAGCTCCGGATATCAGGTGGGCGCCGCACTGGGCTCGGCTTCCTCCAAAGGTTTTATGTCGAACACAATTCAGACAAAGACCCTATACTGCGTTGTAGATCTTGTTAAGCTTATATACAAGGTTTCTCTTCGCGCAACTAACAGCCCCGCAGATACAGAGATTTTGATAGCTTGCACATCGCTTGCTGTCAGCAGGAAAGGCAGCTTTGCCAACGTTTTCAAGCTTAGACTTGATAGCCGGCACCGAGTGATCGTGTGTAGGCCATATGCCGCATTTCTTGAGGCTGTGGAGAAACATGCAGGTGGACCGCTGGGATGCACTGCATCTCTCTTTTCCGGTGACAATCGAACCAAATGCCTCGTTGATTTCCTGCCGATATGCCATTTGACCAAGCAGTATACACTGGTACACAGTCCAGGGTAGAAACTCTTGGCCAGCCATAGCTTTAACGATACTGAACGTTGTTGATTGATCGCGTATTAAGCTCTGAGAAACTCTGGAGAACTCTCCCGACAGATCAAGCAGATGTGTAGCAAGAAACAATTTCTCGAAATCTTGAGCTGCAGACATCTCGAGTAATGCAGCAACCCATATTATAGCCCACGCACGGACTACACCGACACAATCGTACTTGTTACACACGAGCGCAAGTTTGAACAAGTCCATGGCGGTGAGCGTGGTCGGAAGTTGCGACGTCTGCATGTGTCCGATCTTGCAGGTCATGGTGATACACTTAGGATCGTCGTCCGAAAGCGGGACTGTACGTGGCGGAGCCGGAGAAAGACTCTGACCCTTGGAGAAGCGACCGTCGAACATGGTGGCAAAGACTAGCGAAGCAAGGCTGAGAACCACGGATGAAACAAGAACATTGCGTACTCCATCTCCGACTCCGACTTTGCCTAGTTGAAGTATGACATCGCCCTTCGTGGCGATAACTTTTGCATTGCCTCCGGCTGGCGACATTGCAATACAATCTGCCTTGATGTTAGGTCATGGCACAGTTGTTTTGACTGGCGGTTACTCACCTTCGTAATTGCGCTTCCTTGAAGTAGCCAGCGTGCTAACTTTTCTCACTCTGGAGACGGTGATTGAGAAGATTACTAAAGATGAAGGCTCAATTGCGAGAATGAGAGTCGTGATGAAGAGTTCACTATAAAGATCATGACTGGTAGAAGAAGGTTGCAATCTGAGGTATAAACCGAAGCTTATACTTACCCCCGCTCATCCCGACTCACTTTCACCTTCACCTTCATCCAGTGGAATTCTGTATGGAAGTACAGTTTTAATTGCTGTGCATCAAGTGGCATCATCGGATGCGTTCAGAAATCTTTTCGGTCATCAACTTGTACGGTACGTCTATTGGAAAACTTTGGATCTTCGAGTTCAGTAACGCGAGATCAGTACCTAGGTACTTCTTCCACCTACCTGCCGTCGTGCGAAATACAACTCTAAGACGAGTGTAAGATCCATTGCGCACTCGACGTCACCGTACGTTGCTCGAGGGATTGCGCAACTTTCAGGTGGTGTCGCAAAATCGCAAGTAGTTCGGCCCCCACCTTGCCGCCGTCAAAAGTCCCACCAGGAGTGTCGACGCGGTAGCACCGTGGTGTGTACCTAGGTATCGTACCGTCTCTTGAGCTACGATGGGCTTAGGCGACTGCAAAGATGGCCGTATGACATATGGCAAAAGTTACTTCAGGCTTTAATTGTTATGAAGGTGACCGAGCAGAGACAAAGGGGAAAGCTGTGCGATAGACACGGTAATGAGAGATCGACTTGACAGCCGGGATATACCTCCTTGAAATGTCAGTCAGAGAGCACACTGACGCCATCGGAACTCCCAGCTACATCGGGAGAAGGGATGCGTAGTCCTTTGTGTCTGGTCTCTGTCGAAATGGTGGGGTCGTTGGAACCTTGAAAGGTGGGACTGCATAGATACCGAAACGCGAACTACACGCGCTCAGCCAGCGAGTTTCGGCCGAGAGATAAGAACGATCTCCAGCCCATCACCGTGTATACCGAGACATATCCCCCTGCGCCGACCGTAGCCCTGCTTTCCAGCGAGTTTCGTCAGTAGCAACGGCGACATCTCGCATCCGCAGACTGCGAGGTTGAACCGCTACTGCTCCGCATCTCTTGCGACGCCGCGGACAAAGTACAAAGCGGCATCTAGATTGCTCGGATGCAAGCCCACTTGACCTTGAATTTGCCATCGCTAGCACTACTCCTGAGATGTGTTGTAGGCGTGTCGTGCGAGCCCACACTTCTGCCTCATAAATGTTTTTTCCTATGTGTAGATCGGAAGCTGAAATCTAGCAACAGCCCTATGGATAGGTGTCCACGGGTAGAAGCAATCCTCCACCATCGTGAACATGCCTCAAACAGTCACATTGTCAGCCTTGTAGTTCATATCGATCCTTCCGCAATCCCGAATTGAAGCTATTCGGAGGCTCTCCAGATAGGGCTTTAGCGTACGCGCTGTTGGACCCCCAGCCCCAGACCTCGATTTACGTACATTCTTGCTGGTTTGGGTCAAACAATCAGACGCTAGTGGAGACCCACGCCCAAAGACTACGCTACGGGCTTCTCGGCGAAGCCTCGTGAGTATCAAACGGGTAAGCAGCTGGCAGAGCTCCCCTGGCGCGTATTGAAGCTGGTTCGCGCCATTGGACGCGACCCCGCACTATCAGCGATGCGAAGTAATTCCAAACATGACCGTCACACCCGCAGACGGCCACGAACCACTTGTCTGTGTGGGAATGTGGCATCACCAAGTGGGGACGGCCGACATCGTCAGCCTGATGACCCAGGGACCAGAGTCTCAATAGAGTATGAGAGAAATCTGCGGGTACTCGGCGGTTTATAAAAGCCCCTCACGAACCCCTCAATTGCTCTCACATCAACATCCTCTTGTGCATCCGGTCTTACTACCGACTTCTCTACTATACATCAACGTCACTTCGGCCCGCAAAAGGTATACCGACCCACGCACCCCTCACTTCCCCCCCTGCTGGGACGATAGGCTGACATCCTTGCGTCAGGAATACGTACCATTCGTTGTACCTTTGCCGGTTTCTACTATATATCTCTCCTTCGGAGCCTCAATTGTTCTCTTGTCAGTTCAATAAGTCAAAATGGTATTTCTCCGCTCAGCTTCTCGCCTTGCGCGCCCTGCCTCCTCCCTCCTCAGCGCACGCGCCGGACCCCGATTGACTTCGTCGCTCCGACAACCAAATGCATTCAGAACGCTGACCGCGACGGCTTCACAACAGGGAAAAGTTCTTCTCGTCCTCTATGATGTAAGTGACCATTGAGTTCCGATGGCGCATCCGACACATCTAACATGCGCGTTAGGGTGGCATCCACGCCGAGCAGGAGCCTCAGCTTCTCGGAACCACCGAGAACGAGCTAGGTATCAGGAAGTGGATTGAGGAGCAAGGCCACGAGCTCGTCACCACCTCCAACAAGGAGGGTGAGAACTCCGAGTTCGACAAGCACCTTGTCGACGCAGAGGTCATCATCACGACACCGTACGTCAAGCCTACCCCGCAATGCCGCTAAGGGCCCCCACAAGCACGCGTCAAGCCTCAAGCGGAAGCGCTAACGCTGCCAACACCATCCGAGCGAACATCAGCTAACAGATCGCGATCTACAGTTTCCACCCAGGTTACCTTACCGCCGAGCGTCTGGCCAAGGCTAAGAACCTGAAGCTTGCCGTTACTGCTGGTATTGGATCTGACCACGTCGACCTCAATGCCGCGAACAAGACCAACGGCGGTATCACCGTCGCCGAGGTTACTGGCTCCAACGTCGTCTCCGTCGCCGAGCACGTCATCATGACCATCCTGACCCTCGTCCGCAACTTCGTTCCCGCCCACGAGCAGATCGTCAAGGGTGAGTGGAACGTCGCTGAGGTCGCCAAGAACGAGTACGATCTCGAGAACAAGGTCGTCGGTACCGTCGCTGTTGGCCGTATCGGTGAGCGTGTGCTCCGCCGTCTCAAGCCCTTCGACTGCAAGGAGCTCCTCTACTTCGACTACCAGCCTCTGTCCCCCGAGAAGGAGAAGGAGATTGGCTGCCGTCGTGTTGAGAACCTCGAGGAGATGTTGGCTCAGTGCGATGTTGTCACCATCAACTGCCCTCTCCACGAGAAGACCCGCGGTCTCTTCAACAAGGACCTCATCTCCAAGATGAAGAAGGGCTCATGGTTGGTTAACACCGCCCGTGGTGCCATTGTCGTCAAGGAAGACGTTGCCCAGGCTCTCAAGGACGGCCACCTCCGTGGATACGGTGGTGATGTCTGGTTCCCCCAGCCCGCACCCAAGGACCACCCGCTCCGCTACGCCCAGAACCCATGGGGTGGTGGCAACGCCATGGTTCCCCACATGTCCGGTACCTCGATCGATGCCCAGAAGGTGAGTTTTACAGCCAAGAACATGTATGTTTTGAGCAGCAGTACTAACATGAATTACAGCGCTACGCCGACGGCACCAAGGCTATCCTTGACGAGTACTTCTCCGGCCGCGAGAACTACAGGCCCGAGGACTTGATTGTAAGAGCTCTCCCTGTACAGACTGCATATGGGACATGCACTGACTTTGCACTTAGGTCCACAAGGGAGACTACGCCACCAAGGCGTACGGTCAGCGCAAGTAGAAGAAGCAGCCTTCTTTCTCAACTTGGTGTCCTTTTTGAGCGATTTCGCACGAATTTCCTTGGTACTTGTTGGGCGCTGGATGGGTATTCCCGCCTACCTATGTATATGAATATATCCCACTTGAACTCCAATTTCCAATGTCCTGAAGTCTAAATTACGCCGGTGATGTGATGCATACGCAAGTGATCAAATTGAAGGTAAACGATGTGAAGGGTATTATGCAGATCATCGATGTCGCGATAGGGACCGCCGCCTCTCGTCCTCGTGCTCATCCTCGCTGTCATCCTTGAAGCCTTCCTCTAGTTCACGGCCCAAGCGCCTCTCTTCCTCCATTATGCTCCTGCGTTGCTCTAGTGCTTCCCTTCTCCGCTCGTCGATGGGGTCAAAGCCAACCATGCCCTCTCCCTCCTCGTCGTCGAACAAATCGTCGTCATGCTGCCCGCTCCCATCTACAAGACCTCTCTGTCTGATCCAGGTGGAGGGCGCGAAGAGGTTGTAGAGAGCATCGGAGAGGTTGGTCCGCCAAGATGTAGGGAAGTCGGTCACACTGGCGGGCATGGGCAGGTACTGGCTATAACGGCTTCGATGGCGGCGTACAAAGGGCAGGATGATGAAGGCTAGGAGGACATAGAGAATGGCAGCGAGGAACAGCGGTACGAGGATGGTCTGTCAGGGCATCGTCAGCCTCCACATGGGGTATTGGGGGTGTGTGCTCTGGGGGTCGCATCAAGACCCACTGTTACGCTCACCGCCCGCAAGCTTCATGTACGTGACAGCTGTCAATCACTCACCTTGAGGAAATGGGTAAAGCCGGCCATGGCTGTGGATGCATGTGCTAGTGAGGGTGCGTGAACTGGCGGAGCGCGTCGTTTTGATCGCCTAGGGCTGACGCGAGGCTGGGGGCTGGGGGCTACGGGCAGCACAGGCAGCACAGGCAGTGTGGGTAGCAGGTGGTGGTGTTGAGACGCACTGCGCCAGACGTGTCGGGACTCTCGGTGTCGTGCCTGCTGCGCCACAGGACAAGAAGTTAGTCAGGAGGAGACGTGGTGAGGGCGCGGCTACGAGCGAGTTCATGGGCTGTCAGATGGCGCCACTACACGGACGTGCGCACGTCTCAGGAGAACGTCGGAGCCAATGCGGACGCGGCTGAGACGAGTTCGCATGCTGGGAAGCCCGCTCTGGTGGCCCTGTCTGGCTGTAACGTCGAGACCTCTCGGTGACGGCTCAAGTGCAGCATGGCCATGTCCTGTCTCCTGCTATACCTCTCCCTGGGATACTGACCGGCGGCAGTCACACGGCGGCGCTAGTTAATCAGCAACTTCCCGCAACTCACCTGCAGCCGCATTGTGCAGCACCACCGCGCTCTCCAGGAATTGCTTCTACTCCCTCCAGACTCACCACCCCCCAGCCCCGCACGCCCGTTTCAAGAGTAGAGATAGCCGTTGGCAATTTCGCCCTCGCCCACGCCCGCCGTCACTGCGAAGCGAGACGGCGCTGCTTCAGGAAGGAGGGGAACGGGGGACACGTCGGGCGGCGCGCTCCCAGGGCGGCAGCATTGGGCATAGACTCTCGTTATAGGCATGGACAGCAAGGGTCGGCAATCTTCCGCCGGCAAGTTCTTCGGACGACGCCTGCACAAAGACAAGGACAAGCACGCCAGCGACGCGAAGCACACCACCACCTCCTCGACCGACAGCCCCCCGGGCAGCTCTCATGGCTCACTCTCGTCACGCCATTCACACAGACACTCCATCGGCGGCGCTTCGATAGACCAGCGGCCCGTGTCCATGACCGCCGAGGGCATCTTCGCGCGAGCTGGCCCCGTATCATCCATCGACCCCCCGCGCGACGACGCCTCCAAGACCGGCGAACCGCTGCCACACCATCTCAACAAGGGCGGCGGCGACTTCCACCAGTACCCCGTCTTCAACGCCTCCCCAATGCCCCAGAACGGCTACTCCAACCCCGGGCCGCCGCGCCCACCGCCGCACTCGCTCGGCACCACCATCGCCTCGAGCAACCCCGGCGACCGCGGTGTGTCGATGCAGCAGTGGGGTGCCCGTGGCAGCAGCAGAGACGGCAACTACTCCTACCATGCCGGCACCGACTCGTCCAACAACACGCGCACCTCGTCGGACCAGGCGAGCATCTACAGCAACGACTCCAAGACGCGCGGCAGCAACATCTTCTACCCCCAGACCCCACCCCAGACAACCATCTCCTCCATAGGCCTCGATGCCGGCAGTCTCCTCCCCACCGCCGTATCTACGCCACGCGACTCGCACCGCCATCTGCTGCACATGAACTCCTCGTCGCCGTCCGCGTCGCAGACTTCGTTCAACCAAAATACACTTAGCATACAAAGACCGCCAGACCATGTCGTGGAAAAAGAATTCATGAACCTCATGGTGAAGCGAGGATGGAAGAGCTTACCAGAGCAGGCGAGGCGGCAGATGGAGGCCTACAAGATCGACAAGAAGTGGACGCTCGTCTACCAGGACAAGCTTGCCGAGTTCAAGCACGAAGAAAAGAAGCGTCAGACGCAGCGGATAACCTACGGCGGCCCCGGTGGAGGTGGCCAGGACATCCTCATGCGCGCAGAAGAGGAGGGCTCGCCCGAGTGGTATGTCAAGAAGGTCATGGACAACTCGATATCTATAAAACAGATGTCGAGTCTGGAGATCAGTCTGAGAACGCAGCCTATTGCTTGGGTCAGGGGCTTCATCGAGGCGCAGGGTCAGATTGCCCTTACGAATGTATTGGCCAAGATCAACCGCAGAAAGGGAACGGGGCCTGCACCTCCGCCCAGCGTCATGGCGCAAAAGGCGGAAAATGACGTGGAACGCGAATACGAAATCATCAAGTGCTTAAAGGCATTGATGAACAACAAGTACGGTGCCGACAACGCTCTCAACCATCCGTCCATCATACAGGCGTTGTGTGGCTCTTTGATTTCTTCGCGCCTCAACACACGAAAACTTGTCTCAGATGTCTTGACCTTTTTGTGCCATTGGGGTAACGGAAGTGGACATGAGAAAGTACTGCAGGCACTTGACAACCTCAAATCACAATATGGTGAAAGCAGTCGATTCGATGCATGGATGCGCATCGTCGAAGTCACGGTCGATGGCCGTGGTAAGATGGGCTCCATGGTTGGCGCTTCAGACGAAGTGCGTAGTGGAGGTATCGGCGTAGAGAACCTCCTCATGGAATATGCCATTGCAACCCTCTTCCTGATCAATATGGTTGTGGATGCCCCTGAACGCGACCTGCAGCTCAGGATGCATGTACGAGCCCAGTTCACAGCATGTGGCATCAAGCGCATCTTCAACAAGATGGAAGGCTTCCAGTACGATGTCATCGACAAGCAGATTGAGCACTACCTGGACAACGAAGCTGTTGACTATGAGGATTTCCTTCAGAAGGAGAACAGCTCCATGATCGACAGCGTTGAAGGCGAGACCAAGGATCTCAACGACCCCGTTCAGATAGCAGATGCCATCATGAGCAAGATTAATGGCAGCCGCGCCCAAGACTACTTCACGTCGGCCATGCAACACTTGCTACTGATGCGCGACACTGAAAGCGAGGATCGATTGCGAATGTTCCAATTGGTCGACCAAATGCTGAGCTACGTGGCTATGGACCGCCGACTGCCAGACATGGACCTCAAGCAAAGTCTGAATTTCACTGTACAGTCTCTGCTTGACAAACTCTACACAGATTCCGAGGCTCGACAGGTACGCGATGAAGCAGTCGAAGCGCGACAGATTGCAGACTCGGCCATTGCGGAACGCGATGAGATGAAAGCGCAGCTAGAGCTGGGTGCAGATGGCTTAGTTTCTAAGCTGCAGAAACAGCTAGCAGAGCAAGAACGTATTATCGAGCTCCGTGGAAGGCAGGTAGAGCAGATGAAGTCAGAACTCGCAGAAATGCAGAGAATACGAGCTCAAGAACTGCAACGTAACGAACTCGAGACGCGTGAACTATACTTGATGCTTAGAGATGCTCAAGATGTCGCAGCGTCAGCAGCGAAGAAGTCCGGCAAAGATGGACTCGGTGCCACGGATCCTGCTCAAATGCAGGGCATCATGGACCGCGAAAGGCTCATGAACAGACTGGAGATCCAACTGCAGCGAGCCAGGACACAGGCGACGCTCGAAGGCAAGACCCTACAGATGCAGCCCAGTGAGAAGCTCCGCGAACTGCGAGAGAAGATGGAGGGCGATATGCCTGGTATGACTGAACAAGGCTATGGCGGCCTCGAATCGAGCTCCTTCGGATCAGTCCGGGCCAAGAGTGGTGTCCCACGCAGAAAGCCCCTCCCTGGTCTTCCTGGTCAGATTGGTGAGGATACCGAGATGTCAGAGATGGATGATGATGATGTTGTCATCGAGAAGCCCCGTCTCGTACAGATGCACAAGCCAAAGCTCAGTTCTTCGACAGCCAATGCTCTCATGGCAGATATCACTTCGAACGTCAAGCGATACGATGACTCTGATGCGGAAGGTGATGGCGTTACTACAGGACCATCACATCCCAGCCTCGAATCCGACTCACCAAAGACACCCGCTGATGGTGAAGCACCCAAAGCCGCTGTACCTCCACCTCCACCCCCACCTCCACCCCCGCCTCCAGGCGCTCTTGGATTTTCTGCCAACATACCACCTCCGCCACCTATGCCTGGAACTGCTGGTCCCCCGCCCCCGCCACCACCGCCGCCACCGCCTGGCAAACTTGGTTTCAAGCCTGGAATTCCTGCTCCGCCCCCCATGCCTGGAGATGGCAGCATGCCACCTCCGCCACCGCCGCCACCAATGCCAGGTGCCAAACGTCCTGGATTCATGCCTAAAGCACCTGGGTTCGGCGCTGCACAACAGTTTGCTCTCTCTGGACCGCGGCCCAAGAAGAAGCTCAAGGCTCTTCATTGGGACAAGGTCGACCAGCCCACTACCACTGTTTGGGCTACACGTGGTCTAACTTCGGAAGAAAAGGAGGAGAAGTACCAGGAGTTGGCTAGGAAGGGTGTACTAGAGGAAGTCGAGAAGCTGTTCTTGGCAAAGGAGATCAAGGCGATCGGCAAGAAATCTGGCAAGAAGGATGACAAGAAGCAGATCATCTCTCGTGACCTCATGCACAACTTCCAGATCAGCATGGCCAAGTTCTCATCGTACGGAGTTGAGGATATCGTAAGAATGATCATCCACTGCGACACCAAGATCCTGGACGACCCTGTCACTATGGAGTTCCTGCAAAAGAACGACTTCTGCGACATCCCTGACAATACCGCCAAGCTCATGGCACCATACTCGAAGGACTGGACTGGACCTAATGCTAGCGAAAGCAAACGCGAACAGGACCCGAACGAACTTACAAGAGAAGATCAAATATATCTTCTTACTGCTTACGAGCTGCACCATTACTGGAAGAGCAGGATGAGGGCGCTCGCGTTGACTCGTACGTACGAAACCGAGTACGATGAGATTTCGAACAAGCTGTTGGAAATCTCAAGGGTTTCCGAGAGTCTGCGCGATTCTTCAAGCTTGATCAGTGTTCTCGGTCTCATCTTGGACATTGGTAACTTCATGAACGACGCCAATAAGCAAGCCAGTGGTTTCAAGCTCTCCACGCTATCGCGTCTAGGTATGCTCAAGGATGACAGGAATGAGTCCACATTCGCCGACGTTGTCGAAAGAATTGTGCGCAACCAATACTCTGGATGGGAAGGTTTCACCGACGAGATTGGCGGCGTCATAACAGCGCAGAAGATCAACGTTGAGCAACTGCAGACCGATGCCAAGAAGTACATCGACAACATCAAGAATGTCCAGATGTCGCTTGACTCTGGTAACTTGTCTGACCCAACCAAATTCCATCCAGAAGATAAGGTTGCCATTGTTGTGCAAAGGAACATGAAGGAGGCCAGAAGGAAGGCGGAGCAGATGCAGGTCTTCCTTGAGGATATGCAGAAGAGTTACGACGACATCATGGCGTTCTACGGCGAGGATCCAACTGACGACAGTGCGAGGAGGGATTTCTTTGCGAAGTTGGCCAACTTCGTTCAGGAATGGAAGGTCAGCCATTACCAGACCCTTATCTTAAATGTTTTGTTTGCTAACTCGGCTGTAGAAATCCAAAGAGAAGAACACCACACTCGAAGAACAACACCGCCGCAACGAGATTTCCATGCGTCGCAAACAAGCACAGACTGCGAACCCTCTCTCACCCAATGCCCTGTCTTCAGACTCCGACGCGCCCAAATCTCCAGCTTCCACCGGCGCCATGGACGACTTGCTCCAGAAGCTGCGTGCTGCAAAGCCCGAAGCAAGAGACCAACGCGATCGCCGTCGTCGCGCTCGCTTAAAGGACAGGCACCAGGTACGCGTGGCTAGTGGCCAGAAGATTCCGGAAATTGGCGTCAACATGGAGGACGGGGGAGAGGGTGCCGAAGGAGAAGATGAGAAGGGCAAGCTGCTCAGCCCCGCAAGTGAGACTGCGGAGAGCGAGGCCAGTAGCACTGTTGGCCCTGCTGCTGGCGCTGTTGGTACCGCTGAAGCAGACATCGCAGATCGTGCAGCTGCCATGTTGGAAGGTCTACAGTCAGGCACTGGCTTGAACAAAGACGGTTCGCTTTCCGTTAGGCGAAGAAGAGAGAGCGCCGACACTGAAAGACAACGGAGGAGGAATCGACGCAATCAAGCTACTTCGGCCAAGAGCGAAGACGGGGGCATTCTAAGTCCCACGGCCATACCCGAAGAAGGCGATAGCATCGTCGACCAAGAAGGCGAGGAGTCAAGGGATCCGACAACACCAGTCACTGTCGTCCACCCACCAAGTCCAGAACAAAAGGGAAGGGACCTACCCACGCCACCGCCGGAGGAAGGTTAAGCAGTCCATGTTGATAGCAAAACACTGTCACCCTATGTTCAGTGGCTTATGCTGCTACTACTGCCGTTGTGGAGAGAAAGAAAGGGGAAGAGACCAGTTGGTGATAATTTCGCGATAGTACATTTTCGACTTCGATACCCGATCGCCTTTTCTTTTTTACACGTCATGGTATTTATAAAGTTTTTAACTTTACTTTTGGCTTTACCTTGCCAATCGTTTCTCATTTGTTTGTATTGTACCACAATCTGGAGGGTCTTAATGCATCGCTTGCGCAGTGTGATGTCGCTGGCGTCTTTTTCGTTGTGTTGGATGGTGGATAGGCATGTTTGGATGAGAGTACGGAAGGCCGGATGGATGGGGTTATGGGTTAGATATCCTTAGGGGAGAAACGGTAAGGTATAAGAATTATGTCGACAGATTACATGCTCATTCATCTTTACGTTTTTGTTCTTGCGTCAGTTGCAAAGACTTATTGCATTGATCTTATTTTTCCAGTGCCAATGAAGTGATAAATTCGTGTAGAGTTTTTCCATTATTACTAACATAAAAGTCATGGAGCGTACACTACCAGACACCTTCCCCTTCGCTTAAGATAAGATATGATATAAACAAGAAAACATGACTAGCATGTGCCATCAATGAGAGTCGTGAAGTTCCAGCAGGAGATGATGGATAAAGAGATATCGTAACGCCCGAAAATGCCCAGACCATGCATGACGCCCACTCTACCATTTGAGGCGGTCGAAGAGGTTGCTACTCTTGACATCCCTCTTCTTGCTGCCACCAGGTAGTGCACTGGTGCAGTCGATCAAGTTCGTGTCCTTAACACCGAGCATGCTCATCTTGACCATTGCACCTACGAAGGCCGAATCCCACATGCCCTTGCTGACGGCAAAGGTGGAGAAGGGGATGGCGGTGAGAGGGTTCTGTGCAATGCTTTTGTCAGACTCGAGTGTGAAAGGAGCCGAGCCACGTTTGGTCTCGGAGTAGTATTTGTTATCCCAGGTACCGACAGTAGAGTCGAGCGCGGCACCGGCTTTGGAAGGGTCTGTGAAACGTTGTTTGGCAGCAGTGTGAGCACCGATGAGGGCAGCAAGGTCATAAGGGGAGAAGCCTTTTGATGCTAGAAACGGTGTTAGCTACGTGGATATGATAAGCTGGAAGATGAAGGCTTACCGAAGAGCTTGACTAAGTCTCCTCCTTTAGCGAAGCCGCTGGGTAGAACGCCGAGCGCGTTTGCCTCGCTGGAGTCCTTGCGACCAACTTTGACGGGAATCGTAGGTCCACCAGGGCATGTTTTGACTGCGTGTGCGGCAGCAAACTGGATAAGATCGGCAACACCGACTTTAGTTTGGGAGGCGACATTGGCGAGGTTGCCGCAAAGGCGTTCTAGGCCACGGTTCTCAATGTTCGAGCACTCTTGTGCGAGGATGAGAGACCCATCACAAGCTCCGTTAAAGCAGTCGTGGAAAGAGGATCGGATAGCAGCACGGGCAGCATCTGTGCACTGCCCGTCTCCGAGGAATTGCTGAGTGAGAGTGGAAGAGATTTGAGTCCAGATGGCAGGACATTCTTGCGCAGGCTCCTTGTTACCACCGAAGAGGCCGCCAAACAGACCAAGGATCTTTCCTATGGTGCGCTTCTCCTGTACTGGTGCTGGCGGTGCTACGATCCACTCCTCTTCTCGGATGGTGTAATTGGAGTAGGCCTGGACAGTGCTGGCAGCCATAAGACCAGAGATGAGAGCGTTACGAATATACATTATGTATGTGAAGAGAAGATAGTAAACCTATCGAATGGAAGGCTGATAGGATTATGAGAAGATAGGGCAGGCGAGATGTGCTAAGAAGCGAAAGAGCGAATGACTGTGTTGACCTGAGATGATAGTAGTAAGAGAGCGATGAACTTCTGTCTTTATACATTGCTACATGTTTCTGAAGACAGGTAAGAATAGTAGCCACGACTCATGCTTACGCTTAGCACGGCGTGAGCAGATGCCTCCCGAACCCTGATTCCCATGGGTAAGCGTTGGAGAGAGCGCTGGAATAGACGTGACAGGCCGCTAGGGCGATGGTGAGAAAGACCCACCGCTACTGTTTGGGAAGGACGGATAAACGCCACGACGTGACCGGTAGAATAGATCGTACTTGAAGCATGACAGGTAGTAGTGAACTTGCCAATGACCTTCGAGCTTGGAGTGTAGCTTCAAGCAATCTAGCTCACGCAATATGCTGCATCTACTCGAGCTCAGCCATTTACATTCCCACTAGTTAATGCAGTGTGGCATTCGCGTGGTGAATTAGCCTTAGAACAATGACAGTCGTGCAAGGATACCGGCACTGTATTTTCCCGAATTCAGTCGATAATGCTTTTCAATGGCGAATTTTCCGATATGTTCTTAGTGGTATCGCATTAACAAACAGACCGTTGGTTTGGAAAGTGATACCCCTTTACGTCGAAACGAAAGTTTTCTAAAGAAAGATGTGGGGATGCTGTTTATTGTTTCAAGACGGCTTCAGACTAGCGAGCGTGGAGGAGCTGCAGTGCCGATAAACGAGGATCAACACGGCCCCGCAGTTTGGGCCATGGACGCCGTACGTTTGAGGCGCATGGCAAGGCTTGAGCCTTACCGGGCGAGGGTTAGAGTATGGAAATGGTTTATCGTGGGCTAACCTTAGCGACTCGAATCCAGGCATCCGCAAAGCTAGTATGTGTCGCGCATGCTCGCTTCGCCTTCCCCACGCAAGTGGCAGCAAACCCTGCTGCAAGACCTCAAAAGAGGTATCTGGAAGATCGCGGCCACCGGGTGAGGCAGATAACGAAATCTGTTGGTGTGCGCTCTACTGGGCTTCTTATGGAAGAGGGTCTTCGGTACTTCTCCGAAGCTCTAGTGCAAGGTTCTTTTCGTATCCTGTCAACTGTTACAGATGTGATTTGAATGCCCTAGCCAATGATCGTGAAGGCAATCATCGGCTTCATGTTTGACGACGCAATAGCGCTGATGGTGTTGCGGACATGTATGTCGGAGACCCGAAAGTGGAAATCCCTATAAGCATAGTCCAAGAAGGCGGTCCCTTTAGCGAAACCTTTTCTCGCCGAGTTGAACCCTTGCAATTTCATGACCCACCGACCTCGCGAACTCTACTGCGGATGCGACTGAAGCTCTCTGGACCGGTGCTGGATATCGTGGATGGAACGAAAAGCTTAGAGCCGTTGACCGAGATGGCGCAACCGACGTACCGCATATCCGTTCGTTCGCGCTAATGACAGCAGTGGGAATGTTGCCAGCACTATTGCCTCGAGGTCGCGAACACCGAACGTGGTGTTTGAACGCCACTCAAGAATCCGCCCTCGTCGCACACAAGGCGAGACCGGCATCCACGCACAATCTTCCATCACTGAGACGGATGCCACATCCTGTGCTTAGCTGCGCATCCCTCCCCGAGCCCTTTTGTGTCACACTGCCGAATTGCTCAATCAGAATTCGGAACGAGCGAACAGGTGTCGTGACGGAGTTGGATGATATTGTCGGACAGCATAATCGTGATGCATTGCGACGCGCCTACGATACCGATGGGGTTGCATGTGTCTGTTATCACAAGAAAGAGCGATGAGGGACATAACAAAAGCAGCAACATCTCTGTGACGGCATTAGTGCTGACAATGCAAGCTATCGCAGCACTCTTTCGTGGATGTCGACAAGCATGTAAGATTGCACAGTCAGACAAGGAAATTCCAACAAAATGTTTAGATCGCATCTCAACATCCTCCAAAGCCCTGGAGGTTCTCGCTACGCGAAGTCGCGTGACTTCGTGTCAACTGTGTAGGTGCGGCCTTCAATCATACCACAACACATCCAGGACCATCAATAGATATTACGAGCAATCTGACGCAGCGTCGTGCAAAAGGTAACGATACTGGATCAACTATGAGGGGGACTGTCGAAGTGCAGGCACAACACGGCACTAGTGCTTTATGATGCACCTCCATACATAAACTTGGGATTCAGTAGTAAGCAAACGGTATGACTATGGCCAAACTACCGATGAGCCAGCCTTGAAGCATCGTGACTGCCGCCCGTTGCCGGTGGTGTGCTAGGATGCTCCTGCAGGATCAAATTACTTACAAGCTGAAATCAATGTCCTGTTCGGCGCCCGTGAGTCGCGTGACTTCGTTGGAAGAAACGCCCGTAAGGAGGAAAATAACAAGATGGCAAAGAGCAGGATTCAGACTGAACGGACAGCAAACGTAAGGAACGAGTGATATAGGGAGCGTTTCATAGAGATCTCATAACGACTGCCCCGCCTGGGACGAAGGTCTACCTGGCTTTCCTAAACAATCATGCAAAAGTCCATCCAAAACACCCTCGCAATGCACAGATACCATGCCTTGTACCAAAGAAAGCTGTCAAAACGCAAGTAACGCCAATCAAACCATGCCTGACTACATCCACTTCCCACCAAAAACACGTTTAATGTCCGCGAACTTGACCGGCTTAACGAGATACATGTCCACACCCGCCTCCTGTGCATCCTTTTGGTCCTGCGCACTTGCAAGCCCAGTGAGTGCCACGATATTCGATCTTGGTAATCCGTTTTTGCTCTCAAATTGACGAATGTGGCGTGTACTCGTCAGCCCGTCCATAACGGGCATACTCAAATCCATCAATATGAAGTCAAAAGGACGAGCTGGTGGGGAAGAGGATGTGGCTTCTGATTTGAACGTCTCGAATGCTTCGAAGCCGTTGGTCGCTTCGACGTAACGCAGATTTTGTCGCTTGGCGAAAACGACGAGCAGCTTCAAGTTGATGGCGTTATCGTCTACAAGGAGGACTCGTGGATTGAAGTATTCACCACCATCGCTTGGGGTGGGACTCAAAGGAGTCGTGGTGGTTGGGAAAGGGCGCGGTGGCGGTGGGGACGGGCCTCCAATCACATTGCTGGCTTGTCGCGTCGTGATATCTTGTGGAAACATGTCGCTGAGACTCCGCTGAGATAGAACGCGAGGCGGGGCGAGGGACTGGAATTCAGGCTGCACTAGGGAGGAGCTCATTGATCGACTAATAGATGGCTCATTGTTGTGTTGTGAGGCACGCTTCTGACAAGATAGAAGTGATCGGGCAAGCTTTCGAGGTCCACATCTATCGAAACAATCAGTAAAGCGGAGCAAAAGGTTACTGCAAGAAACTTACGGCTGCGTAACTATTTCTATGAGCCAGCCAAGTGCCTCGACCTGCCTCGCGAGCTGGGTCTCCACGGCGGCCTTCTCCGACGTATCTGTGCAGACGCAAACCACTCCCAATGGTGACTTGTTAGCACGACTAGAGTTCGAGTTCTGCATTAACTGATAGAGAGAGGGGGAGTCAATGAGCAGGAAGTCGATATTGTTGACCGATATGTCAGTGCTCGAGCGCTTCGATGCAACAATATTCATGTCAAAGTTCTTGCAAGCGTTTTCCATGGACTCTTTGGTCTTGAGTCCCCGTTCGCCACCTTGTGTGTCAGTCATGTCGCACACAATGGAGACAGACGTGCTCTTTAACTCCTGAGGTGCTCTAACGAGGGCAAGATCTTGCTGTGCGTTCTCCTTGGATCCAATTGGCAGACGTATGCCAATCTTGATGACAGTGCCGACGTTGTGGGTACTCCTCACCTCAATCTCGCCCTTCAAGGATTCTATGATTTGCTTGACGATTGAAAGACCTAATCCGGTACCAGAGCTGAAGGGATCCTCTTGGCTGAATGGGGAAAACAATTTCGTTCGTTGGTATTCCTGTGACATTCCTCTGCCGGAGTCTTCAACACTAAGAGACAAGTCTATGAAGTTGGCGGAGCTTTTGTGTTGTAGCATCTTGATCGCGATATAACCAGAATCCGTATACTTCAGCGCGTTGCCCAGCAAGTTCATAACGATACGTCGAAGGGCGCCGGGTTGTGATCGCACAATCCAGCTAACGTAAGGGGCTACGATCAAAGAGACGGCAACGGACCCATGGGTATCTCTACCTTCCACGTCGTTGTTGCCGTTTTCGCCTTGCATTGAGCCATTCACAGTTTTGCTCTCAGCCTGATCATAGATGGCTGATCCTCGGACGTGATGAGTCTTCCTGAATGTATGACCGGCGCACACAGTGTCACAGACCTCCTCGACCAATTGCGCTAGATCGAAGTCAGAGGTAACGCCAAGGATCGAATTGTCAGCAGGCTGTCTCTTGTTTCGCCCCAGGCTTCGCTTGTTCTGGCCAGCGGCCTTTTGCAGCTTATTGATTTTTGCGTAATCAAGCACGTGGTCGATTGTGTCAAGCAGCGTTTTGCCACATGTCTCGATGGAAGAAACCAGAGACTCCTGATATGCCGATGCCACTGTTTCGCGTAGAAACTCTACAGAGCCGAGAATGCCATGAAGTGGCGAACGCAGCTCATGCGATATGGAAGCAATGAAGGTAGTCTTGGCACGGTCCGCCTTCTGCGCATTTAGTCGAGCTACTTCACTGGTCACCGAATTGCCGAACGCTTGCAGATATGGCAGCTCGTTGTCTGGGCTCATCAGTCGTCCAGCTTGGGTCGTCCAGATGAAGCCACCAGCAATCCATCGTTCCGTGGCTGGGCACCAAAGTGGCAGGAAGATTAGGCTTCTCACCTTGGGCAAGACTTTGAGGAATTCGGTCGGGATGAATCTTTCTCGCTTTTTGCGCGGCTTCTTAGTGTTGGCGGTAGATCCGTCCATTGTGCGGTCCGACTGCTCAGTCTCGGAGCGTTCTGACTTCTCGTCGGAAGAATTGACGCCGATACCATCCTCGTTGTAGTTGAAAAATTTTCCGTACGGGTACCGATGGATATAGCGTTCCATGGCAGCTTCGTTGAAGCTGAAGTCTGTGTGTACTAGAGCCGCATTTCCTTCACGCAACGATAACCCTACAACAGGACAAGCCTTGCTATCAGCTCCACTTGCTTCGGGCGCTCCATCGGCAGTGATGGCAGTTTGTTTCTTAGGCCTCCTTGAAGCAGTCGAGTCGCCAGTGTCGGTGTTGTGTGTCGCACTCTCGTCGCTACTAGCGGAGCTGCGGTTGTAGTCGTAGAGGTGGGTTCTTATCCCAGCGGCCGAAGTGTCGAAGAAGACGACGCCGTCGGCCTCAGTGCTCTGACGAATTATGCGCGCGGCTCTATGGAAGATGCGGGCTGCGTCAGATTCAGCATCGCGCTTGCGCTGGGCCTGTCTAACAGGAAGAGACATGTTGGAGCCTTCTTGCTCCTCTCCTTCGTCAAGGGCTACCAAGCGCGCGTTCTCAGTCTGTTTCTCCATGGTGGTAGGGCGGTTCCCATCCTCGCGGGTATCTTGGACAGAGGAGCACTCGATGAACTGCGTCAAGCCGCGTACCATGCGCTCACCCTTGTTGCGGTCCATACTGTCTTTGGCCAGCTCGAGGTGTTCCATGACGGCAGCGGAAACATCCTGCATGAAGCGCAATTCGCCAGCACTGATGCCCTCCCGGGGCTTCTCGTCAGACACGGCATAGACGCCAATGCGATGACCGGCCTTGGTGACGATGGGTACGCCAGCATAGAACCTCACGCCCGGCTCGCCCTTGACATAGTCCTTGTCGGCAAACCTAGGGTCCAATCTGCAGTCAGGTATTACCATGCATTCGCCCGTGAGCGTGCTCCCATCTTCCTCTTTTGCAGTATACGTCGAGGTGAAGGTGTGGTAGCAGACAGCGTCGGTCTTGGTCAAGATTGCGTTGCCCAGCCACACCTCGTCTTCGGGCTCTTCGGCAACAGGCTTGAACAGCGAGAGAGTTCGTGTAGCCTCGGCAAGAATGTACTGGTGGTGCGAGTCGATCAGCGAGACCACTGAACATGGTGTTCGAAGTTAGTGTATGTCTCACATGCTGTTCGCACATGGACACTTACTGCAACGGCGAGTGTCTAGACGCAGTGTCGCCAACTGCGCAAAGGCAGTCAGGGAGCGGTCGCGCGACGTCTGAGGCTGGTAGCCCGAGTAGGTCAGGCCTTTGCCAGAACCGTCGGCCGCATCAACCAGGCTCTGTGCATCGAGCCATGGACGATAATATCTAGTGGATCCTTAGCTGCAGTCGAGGAGTGTGTATCGCTCGAGCCAAACCTGTGGAGATCGCGCTCACGTGCTGCTTCGGGCCACGAGTAGCCCATTGTTATCGTATAGTTGCAAGCAGGCTCAACATGTCCTTCCAGAGAGGCACTGCAAAGAATCTATGCCAGGGCAGAGGCACAACGGTGGGGTGTCTTTGACTGGCGGCGGCGACGGGGGCATGTCACGCTCCTCGTGGCTGCCGCTGTCTTCCCTTTTGAGTGCCTTGGTTAACTGCATCGGTGCTAGACGCCCCATATCCTGGCGCCGCGGACCACAGGCAAGTAACGCGTTCCTTTTTGGCCCGTGGCGCCATGGGCATGGGAATGTGAGGACTATGCGATCGAGATGAGCCTGCGTTTATCAAAGCATGACGTGGGCATCGCTTCATTCGCTAGCCGACCTCCTAGCCGCATGCTGGACAATTGCCGATCTCCCGCCCTGCAGCCGATGCCCAGCGCAACAAATCTTCGAGACAACAACTTCTTCGACAATTCCACGACGACGCCATGTTTGAAGTGCCGGATGCGAAGCGGTGGGTCGACTCGCTAGTGTCCCTGTTGTCCGCATACTGACCTTTAGGGTTAGGGTTCGCCGCGACGAGCTGCACTCTCCCACATCATCGCCGCGCTCCTCGCCGGATCCAGACCTCGAACAGCTCCTGCGCTCCAGAATACAAAACGAATTCACCTATACCATCGCCACCACCGACGATCATGTCGATGATACCAACGATATCGCGCAAAGCGACCAGGATGAGACAGAATTGCGTCTCTTCGCTGCGCCAGCAAATGCCGCTCCACAGTCGCATAAGATCCGAATTTCATCTCCAGACGCCGATAGCGGAGAGCCAGGACTGGTTTTGAAGAAACCACGGAGCTATTATTTCGCGGACGAACCCACAAGCGAGGCCGAGGAAGAGTTCAGAGCGGCGGCCATAGAGGGAAGGAGCGTCCTGGAGCTGTCGCAGCAGCCATGGCCTGGTTGCGCCTTGCCGTGGAAGGTACACAAGATATCACCGGCTGGCATGAGTAGAGAGGTGCTGGTTGGCCATCCTCCCATGCTGGTCCTTGTCCAAGACAAGGCAAACAAGCGCACAAGAAAGGGCAAGAAGTCCCGCATAGCCATTAGAAAGAAGTTACAGGAAGCAAAGGAGAAGGAAAGCGAAGCAGCACGTCTTGCACGGGAGAAGGAGGAAGCTAAGCGCGAGAAGAACACACGGAGGAATCGAGAGAAGAAGCTCAAGCAGAAGGCAAAGCAGCAGGCCAAGAGGGCAGCAGATGGCGCTCCTGAAAGCGCCGCAGATGGGATGGATGGTGTGGAAACTACGGCGACTGAGAGCCAACCTGTCGGTGGGGAGTCGACATGAGGCGCGTCAAGGACACCATCACTGTTTCGCCAGCCTCACAGTTAAAGCAGCATCAGATGCAACAGCACGCTGGTCGCAAGCAATAGCCACTCGACTGGACAGGTACCAGGATGGTGCGAGTGATGCACGTATTTCACTCGTAGCCACAAGGCTACCTTTACCTCTGTCTAATTCACGCTAGCAAACCACTGCAATCGTCGACTATATCTATTCTGTTTCTCACCGTTTCTACTTACTTGCCCCTCACGGCTTACTTGGACTGCCAAAATGGATCACAACCACGTCCGAGACAACATGAACTCCGACATGCCTTCAGGCTTCGATCAACAGTACGTTCCCATAGATCCCAATCTTGAGGACAGGTTCGCTCCATCCGCTCGAAACCACATGTACCAAGAATCAGCTCAGCATTACAACTATCAAGAACATCAACCAACTGGCTACAATGCGGTCATGCCCGATGCTGTGCCGTGTGATGCCTATTGTACAGGCTACGAAGGGCCGATGACACCTGCTAGTACAGCAGACCATCTTGAACCGCATGATGATCAGTTGCATGGCGTTTTCGAAGTCCCGGATGAACATGCCACCAACACCCAACAACAAGAAGGGACTGAGTATTCATCAGAGTTCTGGCGGACTTTGGTCAGTTTTGAGGTACCTGATTTCAGACAAACTTCTGTCGACAATATACCTGGCCTCCAAGCCCTACGCACGGCCCACCTCAGTCTCTATGGCCCCCAATCAACAGCCACAAACGCCACTCGCATGCAGTACGCCAAGGCCTTTGGTTTTGCCCTGCTCACGCACTATCACCCGGCTTCGCAAGGCTACACTGTGGTGCCGACTTCACCCGGACCTATGTCAAAAACAGGGATGAGCTTTTTCCTGGCTGCCGACGACGAGTCAGACATCTGGAAGGATATGGGCAGGAAGAAGGCCAGCAGCACCAACAAGGCCAATCGACGGCGAGCGCCGACAAAAAGAGATCTTGAAAGGGCCAAAAGGGCAGAACAAGTTGCCAAGGTAGCAGAGTACAACCATGGATTTGCATACATGGCGAACCTGCAATGGGACTATATCCCGCCTCAGGACATTGCCGCTTTCGTGGTCATGTGTAAATTAGAAGTCAGAGATGAGAACACTGGCATGGTGACGTACGAACAGCACCCACACACCTACCTCATCATTATGGTTGACAACTTCGATCAAGTCCCACGCGTCTCAAGGGAAAACACAGTCCATCGCAGTGACATTCTAGCGGACGCGCTATGCCGAGGCGGCAAGGTCCGGAACGGTCACGGCATGCTTGTCTATGGGCCCCGGCTTGAGTGCTACACCTTTGACCGTGGAAACAAGTGGGTTTGCCCTGATAGCGATGATGAAGACGATGAGCAAGAACCTCAGGATATTGAACCTAAGATGGAGGTGCTACAATCTGGCGGTCAAAATATCGATTTCGATTTGCGTGCCACGAGCTTGGAAATAGTCGACGTGGCCTTTAGGGACATGGCTGTGAGGCAGGTGGTGTACATGTCTGAACCAATCCTCGATGCAGAAGAGCCTGTAGGTTTTGTAAAGATTGATGAAGAGATGGACGAGCAAGGACACTGCAGTGGCTTGAGAGGCGAAAAATTCATCTAGCTGACTAACCCTGGCGATTGCTCTCTCAAGGTAAACAAAACGTTGCCCTATATCACGATCAATGATCCTTCTCCTACATACCATCTTCATGCTGATGCGAGAGTCGCGCTTGGATGATTGTAAGCGCCCAATAGCCGACAAGCCATATCTTGCTCGCGGACAGTACTCCGATCCCTGCCACAACGCGGGCTACGGGACCGTCCGTTCGCTAACCAGCATACCGGTCGATCGGGCTCAAATAAGAAAGGGCCGAAAGGGTGAAATGCAAGCAGGTAATTATTGTAACTTTGCAGTTTATGGGATGCTGAAACCTGATCATACTTTGCTGCTGGATTTGGTAGTCCCATACCGAAATGTAAAGTAAGCGTAAATTCCGCTTCGTAACTACTTCGACCCACTATCAATCCTATTCATAGCCTCATAAGCCTCTTTCGCAATGCCTTTCACTTCCTCCGTTAAACCCTCCAATTCAGCAAGTTCTCCGAACCTCTTCTTCCAAAGCGCCCATCGTTTCTTACTAAACTCTGGTTTTCCGTGCCACAGCGGTCCACCGCTACCAGGATTGCCCTGCGTTGCTCTTTTGGGGGTGAGATCGTATTCCCTTTCATAAACCTGCCTCCCCGCGGCGAAGATCCACACTGCGGCAGAAGGGATCGTAGCGTTGTATTTCTGTACCGCTGTACCTGGGTGATGAGCTCCATTCGGCGCATCATCCTCATGTGGGGTCTCAAGTGCACTACGCATCTCCCAGATACAGTAGATCCAGAAATTACTAACTTTCTCAACCGTCAGGAGAGCGTAGAAATAGAGCATGTTGGCGTAGGCATGTACTTCGGGAAGAAGGTATCCGGAGCCACAGCCGGGGGAGTCGTTCATGGTCTCGCGGGCATCCCAGCCAAAGCCGCGTAGACATGTGTATATATCTGGGTCTTTGGCTGTTGGAGGTGGAAAGCTGGATTTTATAGCCTTCATAAGAACGACGAGTTTGTTGAGACCGACAGTGTCTCGGAAAGGGAGCCGTTTTGCTGAGTGGATTATTGAGATCCAGAGATTCCCGAAGTTCAGATCTTTCCTGTTCTGTAGAATAGCGTCGTTGATGGGTGTAAGGAGTTTCTTTGCGACGTATTCTGCTTTTGTATTGCTGCTCATGTAGTCTTGCACGATTGGATAGGATTTACCATCTCCGTCCAAGGCTGGTGCAAAGCATCTTCGATTTTTCATAATGATGTCGATCTGGGTAGCTTCATCTTGCACGTTGGTGATGGCGTTGATAATCTCGCGCTCTCGAGCTTCCTCTTTCTGCTCTCGGGCCTGTCTTTGTTCTTCTGGTGACATCCTTATTCGAGATATTTTTTGGGAGGGAATTGGGGTTTTCTATATGTCGGAAGCGGCGATGTCATTCAGGAGACATATAATGTAGAAGTTGAAGTACGCCCTTCAGCCCTTCAGGATGCCGTTTCCAGGTGCTAGCTTGTGGCGACATGCACATACGTGCGTATGCAGTGGAGATCTGCCATGAGCTTTCTGGAATACTGCCCCGCCGTGTTCCAGGTTAGTAGAGGTGAGTAAGCTATATTAGTTTCGGCCCAGGGTGTTGTTATTGCTTGTAGGGCAGCCCGGAAGCTACACACAAATGATGAGAAAGTCTTACTTCAACCCGTATTTCATAATTGAGTGGAAGTATAGTTTCACGATGTTTCAAGATGCAGGACGACGCTCGGGTACATTGCTTTACATGAAGCGGTCGGTCAGCGTGCATAATTTCCCCTGTCGAAACTCGGCCTGCAAATGTCTAGTGCACGAGTGAGAGCCCGTTGGTAGACGCGTCTGTAGTTTTGACAAATATCGCGCATGTTAACATGAAGACAAAGCATCACGTATAGTAGAGGAGCGTATCGGGTGTGGTGAAGAAACGTTCGTGGGTTTGGGTGGTTGGTAACTCCAGGGTCCTCGCTCCCAAACGCCGAGTAAATTGGAAACAGCGACCCGACCGCGACCCGACTGCCTCGCACCACCACTAATCACCAACACCCATACGCCTGCATAAAGGCCTTGAACACTTACACCGGTCGCCAAAACATACGACCTGGAACAACGACATAACTATGTCGTCCTATCTTAATAATCTCCTCACAAATACAACATCGCGCTACAACAACCTCCGACGGCAGATCCTATCCGACGAAGCAGACGGCGATACAGAAGACGACTCGCATCTTTCCAGAGTTCTTCGCGCGTATTACACGGAGAAAGGAAGACCGTTTCCACAATGGCTTCCACCGGACCCAAAGGCGCCGCAGCCTGCGCCCGCCCAGTTTGCATCTTCTCAGTTCGCGTCTTCTAGACAGCAGGCACAGGCACAGCCAGCGGGCAGAGGAGGAGGACTGAGCGATCTATGGGACAACCCTGCGCCGCAACAACCACCGCAAGAGCCTCAGTCACTTCGACGAGGAGCAGGAGGACGGGGTGGAGCAGCGCGCCCACTACAAGGTCGGCCCATGGGCAATTCGTTGACACCAGAGCCTCAAATACAAGGGAGGCCACTACCCAGTCAGAGAGCAGGGAGCTATCAAAGCTCGTTGGGAGGGCGTCCACAGACAGAAGCCTCACCACCACCAAGTGCAGGGGCAGGATCAGGTACATCGGCACAGGAAAGGCTCAAGGCCAGGTTATGGGGACGATCACAAAGTCCTGCCCCACGTGGCCTGTCTTCAGAGTCCGCCAACTCACAGTCGGCACAGGGTGGACGCCCATCCTATCCTTACGATCGAAGCAACAGCTATGGAAGCACTGGCAGTGCTGGTGGGAGACAGCAGGGCTCCTTTGGCGGCATGTCTTCGAATTCTCCATGGAGCGGGAACGACGACCCCTACGCGCCACAGAATGGAGGATACGGCGGTGGCGCACCTCCACCCCAACGCGGGCCACAAGGTGGACGTATGGGCCTGCCGAGCGGACCGCGCATGCGTTGATCATGTTCTTATTGCATTCAGCACGGCGCAACGGAGTTGTGTCTTGGTCGTTACTGGGTAGGCAGCATCGGTTTTGTAGACTTGACAGCATGGCGCCCGTCACATAACAGATGAGCCCTTAATACAAATACAACCCACTCACAGTTGCCTCGAAATCTCATGTATGTCCAGAGTTGCTTTGCGCACATGTCGCAGCTAGAGCACATTACTTGATTCGATAGAGGGACGACGCGTTCCCCGCGTGGCGTGTTGCACCGCCACAGCGCGTCATCATCGAGCATCAATCACCTGGGCACTCGCACCTGCAACATCTGAAGCGCCAAACACCTACGCGCATGTCTTCTGCCCTATACCTATATTGCTCGTGAATATTCTCTGCATATGATATCTGACTGTCTTGCTTTGACCTCATCACCAAACCTCAACACCGCGTCTGTAGGACGCCGCCTAGCCCCGCATGACTTCCTCGGCCCCTGGACCGCCATCGCCGTCGGCCAGCTTCTACGACTTGAGCGACGATGAAGAGGGCGAATACAACACGATCCGACATACTAGCAGTGGGAAGGGTGTGAAGCTGTTATACACAAAGAGCAAAGTACGTATAACCTACTTTGACGCGACACCATACAGTCAACCTAACATGTGCAGGTATACGTACATCCCTCGCCTTCCTCAAAGGACAACATCCCAGGCTTTGTCGCTCTAGTGCAGCAGAAGTCCAACCGAACTGCCAGCGATGCGCGTCCAACCTCATCCTCGTCCGCTCGAAGCGTGAACGCGTCATCGCTGCTCCTCGCTTGGATACCAGAGTCAAACCTCGGCGATGCATACGATACATACGTAAAAGTTGACCTGTCTGACTCGTCGTCACCACCAAGGCAGTCATACCTTGTGCCTCCGCCTCCCACACCATCCACCCATGCCGGAACTCCCGGCTATGCATTCGCGCTACCTGTCAGCGAGATATACTCCGTCCTCATACGGCCACCGAGCATCGGGTGGTGGTTTGGAAGCGTCGTCATCAACACTCGGGCTGGTGACAGCTTTCCTGCGCTCTTCTTCCACGATAGCGAGTGTCAGTCTACCATCATGCAGCGGAAGAAGTTGGCCAAGGAAAGCTTCGATCCGTTTGGCGATGGCGGAGGCATGTTCTGGGGCGGCGACGAGGTATTGAGATGGCTGAAGAGATACGTCACAGTTGAACGTTCTGGAGCCGATCCGAGCATATATCTTATCGACCCTTCAGAAGACGACAAGAAATCCTTTGGCAAAGACGTCGCACCAAGGAAGAGCACCGAAGGCAAGACAGACGCGTCGTCTTCACAGCAGACTGGCAAACGAGACGGTGGAATGGATCCGGTCACAAAGGCACTCAAGGAAGCTAGATGGAACTTCCTCGAAAAGCTCAGCCAGGTCACAACGTTCACGCGGAGGACTGCCCAGGCCGTGGCAGACAACCCCAAGATTCCTCCTCAGGTTAGGCGCCTGATCCAGAACCCCGAGGTACAGACGTTGCAAGAGGAGTTTGACAGCGCACGGCTATATCTCGCAAGATGGGCTATGGGCATTGCGGAACAAAGCGAGCGTGAGCGAAACCAGCGAATCTGGACAGCGAAAGATGTTCTGGCCATGGAAGAAAGTGATGTTGGTGACTTTGAGATTCTTGATATGGACAAGATGACCATGGCCGACAGAAGACAACCAGTCACTTTGGCCGAGTGGAAAGGCTTCTTCGATCCCAAGGGACGGCTCCAACTGACGCCAGACGAGGTCAAAGACCGAATCTTCCACGGAGGCCTAGATCCTGATGACGGCGTAAGAAAGGAGGCATGGCTGTTCCTTCTCGGAGTATACGAATGGGATAGCTCAGATGAAGAGCGACGCGCGAACGTCAACAGTCGGCGAGATGAATACATTCGACTCAAGGGTGCTTGGTGGGAGCGCATGGTTGAGGGAAACCAGAACGAAGAGCAAGAAGAGTGGTGGAGAGAACAGAAGAACAGGATAGGTATGTCCCCTTGCGCGTTACACGCTTGCCTGGAAGTTGGCTGACTTGTCCCATTCTATGGGGTCCGTTGTGTAGAGAAAGATGTACATCGCACAGACCGCAATATCCCAATCTTCGCCGGCGAGGACATTCCTCATCCCGATCCCGACTCGCCTTTCGCGGACGTGGGCACCAATGTTCATCTGGAGCAGATGAAGGATATGTTACTGACATACAACGAGTACAATAAGGACCTTGGCTACGTTCAGGGTATGAGCGACCTGCTTGCACCCATCTACGCAGTCATGCAGGATGACGCCGTCGCATTCTGGGGCTTTGTTGGATTCATGGAGCGTATGGTATGTTCCAAGATGGACGAAATTTCAGTCTAGACATAGCAGTTAACATGCATACAGGAGCGCAACTTTCTACGAGACCAGTCGGGCATGCGCAAGCAGCTCATGACTCTCGATCACCTCGTACAGCTCATGGACCCCAAGTTGTATCTTCATCTTCAGTCTGCCGAGTCAACAAACTTCTTTTTCTTCTTCCGCATGTTGCTTGTATGGTACAAGCGCGAGTTTGAATGGGCAGATGTACTGCGGTTGTGGGAATCGCTCTGGACCGATTACCAGAGCAGCAACTTCCACATCTTCATTGCACTAGCTATTCTGGAAAAGCACCGAGATGTCATCATGGCACATCTACAGCACTTTGACGAGGTGCTCAAGTATGGTAAGCTACGAAATCAAACGATCTATATTGGCTGTGAATGATGCTAACACCAATGTAGTCAACGAACTATCTGGTACTATGGATCTCGAATCAACGCTCGTTCGCGCAGAGTCACTCTTCAAAAGATTTCAACGAACGGTAGAGACGATCGACAAGAAGGGTAACTTCCCTTCTGCACCACAAGCGCGACAACGCAAGTTGGCTGCTGCAGTCGTGGCCGGTCCGGGACCCAATACGGTGGCAAATGCATCGAAATCGAAAGACCAGGCGGTGGCCTCGGGCACAGACAAAGGAAAACAGGTCGGTGAAGAGGAGCAGGAGGCGAGAGTCATCAGCCCTGAGCTACGCGCACTACTGAGTAGGAAAGTAGAGAAGCTCGACAAGCAGACCATCTTGGAGCATGGTGGTGGCGTTGGCAAGTAAACCCACTCCGGATACTCTTATGGAATTATTGAATGGCGTTACGGTCTGGTAGGATACATTGGTGAGGTTTTTAGGGTTGCTTACGCTCAACGAGGCACTGGCAAGATTAGATACAACTGCGATCGGCAACATCGCATCTCCACGTTCATCATTCACGTCGTTTTTCCCCTTCAAACGTTGGCTACACACGATATGCTCTATGCTGCTTCACCGACAGCAACACTGGCGACGTATGCTTCATAGAACCCGCTGCTATGTTTGTTTTCCCATACAATGAACGATTGCAATTGTAAGTCCTTGCACTCACATGTCTAGTTCGCATATTGCACTTCACACAGAGTTCGACCGCTTCACACCGACGATCGCCAACACTACGTCCACACGGTAGAAGCAAACCACGATTCGTCACCTATCAGAACCTACAGGACGACAAATACGGTAGTACCAGACCTTCAATGAAGTATATCAACAACTTCATCAAACGTTACTCTCCAATTCGTCCGCACAACGATTTGCGTCCTGCCCAGTCTTCCAACGGCCCTGCTACCTCTCCTCGTCATTGTAGCTCTTGTTCGCAATCTCAACATCGGCGCAAGCACCGTCACCGCGAGAAGATGACGTCCTTCAACGGCCCCTGGTCCAGCGACCTCGACACCTTCAAGAAGTCAGTGCAATCGATGCCGGATCAGTACAAGTCCTCTTTTGCCGATGCGTCCAAGTCTACCCTGGAAAAGGTCTGTGACCCGAAAGTTCTCCACATTTGGGAATCCAATTCCGATGCCGATGGTCTTCTGCAACTTACTTCGGTCATTGCTAAATTGTGCGACCTGGGGGTGCGCAAGCACAAAGGCGCCAATGACGGTGATGGTAGTATGCTGATCATTGCCGAAGAAAGCCGGTCTCGGAACGGCTTTGGTCGAATTTGCCAATTGGTGGAGTATTTGACTGGGGCTGACGGCAAGAGACATCTCGAAGGTACAGTGGTGGTGTTTAGCAAGATAGTGGTAGCGAGGGGATGGGATAACAGCATCTTATCCGGACAGGAAGAGGCGCTTGTTAAGACAGTGAAGAGAGTTAATACGGCAGTTGAGCGCGTGTTGAAAATGAGTGGGTTGAAGAAGATTGTTTGGCATCACGGTGCTGTGCTACACTTCTTGCTCCAGTGGATCAACATCACGACATCCTCTTTACGATCTGCTTTATCTGCCATCACCATTACAGGATCTCTCAATCTTACGGAATGTATCGCGCCTTCCGCTGCTGGGCGCGCGAATACACTGCCAGATCTGGAGCGCTTAGAGCAATACGCGAAGAAATTAGACATACCAGTTGTCTTCCTCGATGCACCTAGCCAACTACTTAACTTCGAATATCTGGGCACCTATATTTACTACTACGGTTACTACATCAACACTTTTTTACCTAACTCGTTGGCCCGCTTCCATCTTCACAAAGCGCAAGATGAACTTATCACGTTCGCTTTTAGGCTACGAGGTGCGAGTGAAGGCCGATACGGTAGTGATGTAGTCAAGATGGTGCAGAAGCATCTCGATGCGAATAAGGCGAGACACTGGGCCAAAATGTGCGTTAGCAAAGAAAGCTACGAGAAGAGCAAATGCAGAGCAGCTGGCAAAGATGAAACGATTCATCATGCTGTTCAGTTAGCTGATAGCCCTTTCGCTCTTCTAGCCTCTGGTGCTGGGGTACCAGCATTTGCACGACTTTCGGTTGGTCCTGCATGCGCATCTACACAAGACTACTACACCGCAGCGCCTGTCAAAATTGCTTTTGCTAAGGTCAAGATTCGGCCTACTAGTCCTGCCACTTTTCATGTCCTCATTCCACAATCCTCTCA